CTCATAGCTCATCACAGGATACACCGTGCAGTGTATCCTGTGATATACTGTCCACTGTACAGGCTATACTGTAGCATTTATGAGGTCCTGTAGCTCAGTGGCTAGAGCACTCACCTCGCAACCTGGAGACCTGGGTTTGACTCCTGGGCAGGGCAAAACATTGGGCAAGTTTCCTTCCTCCATACGCCTCTGCTTACCTAGCAGTATATAGGAACCCGGGTGTTAGCCGATTGGCAGTTCGCTTTACTGAGGATAATAAATCCTTCAAAAAAGAATGTATATAAAAAAAATTGGTCACTCAATCCACGACTGTTTGTGGGACATTCTTGTGCGCAATTGGCTGCCGCGTTTCCCCCACAAAATATACTGTATATTGAGACGTCTCGAAGATGTAATAAGGCGCTGTATCAAATGCAAGGATTATTATTGTTGTTATACACAGGGACGAGGAGGAGGGGTGGAGGGAGAGAGGAAAGGGACAAGACAGACAAACAAACAAACAGACAGACAGGCAGACTTGAACCTGATCCAAGGTTTCAGTGCGCCGTGTGATGGATCATTTTAAAATAAACTCGGCATCAGAGTAACGAAAGCACAGAGGCTTCAAGCTGTAAATCACAAGACCGTATGTGTCTCAGACCTACATCCGAAAGCATTCATCCAGCTTGACAAGCATCTAAAGAGCCCACACTCTCCAGACTCACCCACTTTCCAATAGCATTTCAGCATTTCATTATTGCGTCCCTCCTTTAACAAATGAGTTCCTTTCCCGATGAGATCTGCCTCCTCTAGTAACTGCCCAGAGAGTTTTTTTTTATTGCTCCTTCTAACTACTACTAATAATAATAATCCTTGCATTTGATACAGCGCCTTATCATATTTTCGAGACGTCTCAAAGCGCTTCACAGAATATACTGTAAAGTGAATTGACTGCCTATTTTGCGGGGCAAAACGCGGCAGCCAATTGCGCACAAAATAGGCAGTCAATTCACTTTACAGTATATTCTGCGGCGTCCCACAAACAGTTGTGAACTGAGTGACCAAATTTTTTTTATTAAAGAGATTATTAACCCTGGAAAAACGATCTGCCATTCGACCGGGTTCCTACTTGCTGCTCGGTAAATAGAGGCACGTGTGTGGAGTAAGGAAATTTGCCCAACATTTCCCCCTGGCGGGAATCGAACTTTGGTCCTCTCGCTTGCGAGACGAGTGCATCTAACCACTGAGCTACAGCACTCCACAAATCATCCCCATGTGAGAGCCCCTCGCCCTCCCACCTCACTACCCGCCTCTCCCCGCATTCCTCAGACCTGACAGGGTTGGAGAGTGGGTTCCTGGTTGGGTTGCGACTGGATCACAATAATATTTTTTCCGGGGTCAGCCGGGGATCTGACACATGCGGAAACCCATCACCGTTGCTTAAGAGTCTCCAAACCAAACCGAGAATTCAATGCATCCCACCTACACATGGAAATTTCAGAGACAGATTGTTGGAATGGAACACGCACTCTCTCTCTCTCTCTCCCTGGAGCGATCATCCCGCTTACTTAATTCTGGAAAGTATTAGGCTCAGGTTGGCAAGAGCCAAGGCTTGGGGATCACCAGCTAAAACCATTAGTATTGCTGTCTGGCAAGCTTTCCCGCTGCTTGTCCAGCTGGGACCATGCTGCCCCTTAGGGCTTTGGCTTGCAGGGTTAATAGGAACCAGTGACTGGTCGGCCCTTCCAGGTCCTGACGATGAGCCGGGCCGGGCTGTGCTGTCATCAGCAGCAGTGAGTGCCCTGGAATACTGCGGACCCAACTGGCTCAGGAATCGGACTAGAGACCGTCACAGAGGGCTGGCTCCATTCCGACATTGCATTGCCAGGCATGTCACCTTTGGAGCCAGTTCAGCTTCAAGAAGTCCGCACTTACCTGCACCCACCACCCCCCCCACCACCAAGGAGCATAGTGATGAGTTGGTCGTTTGACATCCGACAAGCACGGATTTGAGCCTCACTTGGTGGATGATAGGTACCAGGAGCTAGTTTCCAGGCGAGCAACTCATCTCAGTATAGTAATAAGAACCATCCTCTCGCTTGCTACAATGGCCATAATGTCAGAACATCCTAAAAAAAACAGGTCACTGGTTCCCCTTGGATTTGTAAGGTAAGCATGCCAGCTGATTCGCACACCCCAAAGTCCCATGCAGCACAATCACGCACAGCAATGTCCCACAGTAACCGTGAAACGAGTGACCGAGATCATTTGGGGGATTGTTGGTCATGACAACGGGAGAGAAAAACTCCCTTCTCTTCTCGAGTAGTGCCATGGGATCTTTAACGTCCACCTGAACAGGGACCTCGGTTTATCCGAAGGACGGCACCTCCGACAAATCAGCACACCCCCAGTGCTGCATTGGAGTGCCATCTTAGACCATGTGAGTTCAAGTGGGGAGCACAAATTTGCAAGGCTATGGGGAGAGAGCGGGCAAGTGGGATTAATTTGGGCAGCTCTTTCAAACAAGCACGGTGGGCAGAATGGCCTCCCTCTGTGATTCTATGAAGTCCCGAAATTGGATTTCGACCTACAGTCTTCAATTAGGGTTGACGGTTGAGCCTCTAACTTGCGATGTTTCTTAATGCGATTAAGGAATCGCAAGTTAGACCCTCCAAGAAAGTGAAAGAAGGAAACCGCTCCCTAAAAAATGACTTAACGTCCGAACGAAAGGAAAGGGGGAAAGTCTATATGTGAGCTAATAATGTTTGCATTTGATATAGCGCCTTAACACGTCTTTGAGACGTCTCACAAGAGATATAGTTCAAGATCCTGGTCCTCACTTTCAAAGCCCTCAATGGCCTTGCTTCCCCCCAATCTCTGCGACCTCCTAACCCCCTGCCAACCTGCCCGCTACCTCTGCTCAGCAGGTTCTGGCCTGCTTCATGTCCCCCGCCTCACCCATTGGCGAGTGGGCCTTTTGCCACTCTGCCCCCACCCTCTGGAACTCCATCCCGCAGTCCCTCCGCTTCGCCCCCTCCCTCGCCTCCTTCAAAACCCGTCTCAAGACCCTCCTCTTCGACCATGCCTTCGGTCACCCTCCTAAGCCCCCCACTACCCTCCACGCTCCCCGATCCCGACCTCCAGTTCGGGTCCGAAGCGCTGATTGTCCAGCGCCTCCCGACGTGAAAGGCGCTGTACAAACATAATTTTGTCGTTGCCTCAAAGCGCTTCACAGAACATACAGTAAAATCCTAGAATCCTAGAATGAATACAGCACAGAAGGAGGCCATTCGGCTCATCGTGTCTGTGCCGGCTCTTTGAAAAGAGCTACCCAATTCAATCCCACTCCCACCCCGCGCTCTCTCTCTCTCCCCATAGCCCTGCAAACTTGCCCTCTCCAAGTAATAATAATAATAATAATCCTTGCATTTGATATAGCGCTTTTCACGTCGGGAGGACGTCCCAAAGCGCTTCACAGAACACACTGTAAAGTGAATTGACTATATATTTTGTGGGCGAACGCGGCAGCCAATTGCGCACAGCGCAGTCCCCACAAACAGCCGTGGATTGATTACTCCCCTCACCCCTCACCCCCGAAAGCGATTTACCAATCGACCGACAAGGCTCCTATTTACTGCGAGGCAAACAGAGGCTGTTTCTGCTCAGCCAGACAGACAGCCTCAGGCTAACCCATCAATAATGATTGGAACTCACTGAAACTTGCTGATCCCCTCTCCTCCCCCTCCAATATAAAATAAGAGATCTTCCCACCCCTCCCAGTCCAGCAATCTGCAACTTGCCATCACCAGAGAGAAACACACACACAGAGAGAGGGAGAGAGAGAGAGAGAGAAGCACAGACACAAGACACAGAGGGAGACAGAGACAAACACACAGAGACACAGACGAGCACAGACAGGGACAGAGGGAGACACAGAGAGAGAGACAGAGGGAGACACAGAGAGAGAGACAGAGGGAGACAGAGAGAGAAGACAGAGGGAGAGAGAATACAGAGAGAGAGAGAAGACAGAGAGGGAAGAAAACAGAGAGGAAGACAGAGGGAGGAGACACAGGGAGACAGAGAGAGGAGCCACAGGGAGACAGAGAGAGGAGCCACAGGGAGACAGAGAGAGGAGCCACAGGGAGACAGAGAGAGGAGCCAGAGAGAGAAGACAGACAAGAGAGATAGAGACAGCGAGAGATAGAGAGAAGCACAGACAGAGACAGAGTGATAAGAGAGAGAAGCACAGGGAGAGGAGATAGAGAGAAAGACAGAGACACACACACACACACACAGAAACATAGACAGAGAGACAGAGAGAGAGGAGACAGAGAGAATCAGAGAGAGAGAAGCATAGACAAAGAGAGAGACAAAAAGAAATAGAGAGGAAGAGAGAGGACAAGAGACAAGAGACTGGATAAGTGTCTCCTCGAGATTGTAACACTGCCTCAGAGGTTGACAGAGATTGGAGACTCATCACACACTGGATTTCCAGGGTCACAGCACCAGGAGTGTGGCTGATCTGCTTTGAACCTGTGGACTGACCCTGGACTAAGCCTCCTTCCCTGGGCTTCCTCCCTCCCTCTCTCTCTCCCCTTCCCTCAACTCTCTCTCTCTCCCCCCTGGACTGACCCTCTCTCTCTCTCCCCTGGACTGGCCCTCTCTCTCTCCCCTGGACTGACCTCCTCTCTCTCTCTCTCTCTCCCCCCAGGACTGACCTCTCTCTCCCTTTCCCCTGGACTGACCTCCTCTCCCCCCCCCTCTCTCTCCCCTGGACTGACCTCTCTCTCTTTCTCTCTCTCTCTCTCTCTCTCTCCTGGACTGACCCTCTTTCCCCTTTCCTGGGCTCCCCCTCTCTCCCCCCTTCCCTGGTCTCTCTCTCTCTCTCTCTCTCTCTCTCTCCTTCCCTTGGGATCCCCCCCTTCTCTCCCTGTCCCTTTCCCTAAGCTCTCCCCCCCTCTCTCTAACCCCCCTGGACTGCCCCTGTCCCCTGGTTTGCCCCCTCCTCACCATGTTGGCTCTCTGGGTGCTAACCATGGTCCTGAACCTGACCTGGAGCCTGGACATGGGTCGGAGTAGCCGAGTGCAGAGTGGTGAGTGAGCCTCTCTCTATCTATCTAACACTCTATCTCTCTCTATCTCTATCTCTTTCTCTCTATCTCTCTCTCTTTCTCTCTGTCTCCCTCTCCTTCTCTCTCTCTCATCTCTATCTCTCGCTCCTTCTCTCTATCTCTATCTCCCTCTCCTTCTCTCTCTCTCATCTCTATCTCTCGCTCCTTCTCTCTATCTCTCTCTCTTTCTCTCTATCTCCCTCTCCTTCTCTCTCTCATCTCTATCTCTCGCTCCTTCTCTCTATCTCTATCTCCCTCTCCTCTCTCTCTCATCTCTATCTCTCTCTCCTTCTCTCTATCTCTATCTCTCTCTCTTTCTCTCTATCTCTCTCTCTTTCTCTCTATCTCCCTCTCCTTCTCTCTCTCATCTCTATTTCTCGCTCCTTCTCTCTATCTCTATCTCCCTCTCCTTCTCTCTCTCTCATCTCTATCTCTCGCTCCTTCTCTCTATCTCTATCTCTCTCTCCTTCTCTCTATTTCTATCTCTCGCTCCTTCTCTCTATCTCTATCTCCCTCTCCTTCTCTCTCATCTCTCTCTCCTTCTCTCTATCTCTCCCTCGCCTGCTCTCTATCTCTCTCTCTCCTCTCTCTCTCTCCTTCTCTCTATCTCTCTCATCAGCCCCTCACCAGCAGAGCAATACACAGAGAAACTCACATAGAAAGACACACACACACACACACGTGTATATACACACAAATCTGGTTTACATGTGATCATATTGAGTAAACGTGACTGAGTGAGTGACTGAGTGAGTGTGAGTGACTGAGTGAGTGTGAGTGAGTGTGAGTGACCGTGTGAGTGACAGTGTGAGTGACCGACCGAGTGAGTGTGAGTGACCGACCGAGTGAGTGTGAGTGACCGAGTGAGTGTGATTGACCGAGCGAGTGTGAGTGACTGATTTTGCGTGAGAGTGAGTGTGTATGTGAGAGCGTGTGAGTGAATGTGAGTGTGTGCCTGAGAGTGAGTGAATGATTGTATGTGTGAGTGAGTGAGTGCCTGAGTGAGTATGAACATGCATGTACATACAGTCCGTACAATCCACAGTAAAATTCTGTTTCGAGCTCCCAGACCGAGAGAGAGAGAGAGAGAGACTGTGTTAAGATGTTCAAATCAAATGCACGCTGTGTATTGAGGTTTCTGGATTTGTTTTTGCTCTGCCTGCCTGCGTGAGAGCGTGTATTCCCGCGTGTGAGCGTGTGTGTGTGTGTGTATATACACTTGTGTGTTGGTCGGTTGTTAGTTGATTGGCAGATTGCTTTTCCGAGGGTACTAAGCCCTTCCACAAAAAAATAAATAAATAAATAAATTGGTCGCTCAATCCACGACTGTTTGTGGGACGCTGCTGAGTGCAATTTTGCTACCGGGTTTCGCCCACAGAATATGCAGTCAATTCGCTTTACAGTGTATTCTTGAAGACGTGAGAAGGCGCTATATCGAATGCAAGCATTATTATTATTATTTGGGTGTAAGTACATTTGTGTGTACATGTGTATCTCTCTCTGAGTTTCTCTGTGCATTGCTATGTGTGTGTGTATATGTATGAATGTGTATATATATATATTATATAATATATTTATGTCTTTCTCTCTCCAGCGCCTTGGGACTAACTCCCAACGTGAAAGGTGCTATACAAATGTAATGCCGTTGTTAGTGTTGTTGTGTGTGTCTGTTTGTGTCTGTTCATCTCTCTGAGTTTCTCTTTGTATGTGTGTGGGTCTTTGCGAGTTTCTCTACGTATGTTTCCTTGCTTCTGAGGTTCTTTCTCTTTGCAGTCCATTCCATACACAAAAGAAATTCCTGTGTGTAGGGGACATGTATGTGTGGAACTGTTTGGAGAATAATAATAATAATAACCCTTTCATTTGATATAGTGCCTTATCACATCATTGAGACGTCTCAAAGCGCTTCACTGGATATACTGTAGAGTGAATTGACTTAATATTTTGTGGGTGAAACGCAGCAGCCAATTGCGCACAGCAGCGTCCCCACAAACAGTCGTGGAGGGAGTGACCAATTTATTATTATAATAATAATAATAATCCTTGCATTTGATATAGCGTTTTTCACGTCGGGAGGACGTCCCAAAGTGCTTCACAGAACACACTGTAAAGTGAATTGACTGTATATTTGTGGGCGAACGCGGCAGCCAATTGCGCACAGCAATGTCCCACAAACAGTTGTAGATTGAAAATGACCAATTTATTATTGTTTTTGGTTTTGGAGGAATTATTATTAGGCTCTGTGTAGAGTAAGGAAACTTGCCCGAGGTTTCGCCCTCTGCCTGGGATTGAACTCAGGTCTCTCACTTGCAAAGCGAGTGCTCTAACCACTGAGCTACAGGACTCCACAATGAGAGCGAGTGGGTGAGAAAGAGAGGACGAGAGTGTGAGAGATGGTGTGCGTGTGTGTGTGTGTGTACGTGACAGGCTGCGTGTGAGAAATAGAGTGTGTGTGAGAGTGTGAGCGTGTGTGTGAGAGTATATAGGAGTCCTGTAGCTCCTGAAGCACTCACCTCGCAAGCGAGAGACCTGGGTTCGATTCCCAGTCAGGGCGAAACCTTGAGCAAGTTTCCTTACTCCACACGGCTGATAATAATCCCTCAAGAAAAAAAACAATAATAATTTGGTCATTTCAATCGACGACTGTTTGTGGGACGCTGCTGTGCGCAATTGGCTGCCGCGTTTGTCCCACAAAATCTACAGTCAATTCACTTTACAGTATATTCTCTGAAGCGCTTTAAGATATATCTCGAAGATGTAAAAAAGCCCTATATCAAATGCAAGGTTTATCATTATTATATATATATATTTTGGAAGGAATTATTACCCCCTGAAAAAAGCGATCCACCAATCGACTTCCAACCGGGTTCCTACTGGCGTTGTGTGTGTAAGGAAACTTGCCCGAGGTTTCTCCCTGCCCGGGAATCGAACCCAGGTCCTCTTGCTTGGATACTGTTCAGCTTTGTGACTGATTGATGCATTGATCAGGCAATAAAACATAAAGCAAATTTTTTAAAAAATTAACCTCTCTTGTTTTTTGGTCATGATTTTAAATTTATGCCCTCATTATTTTCAAGTGTCTGATTCACTTTAGAAACTTGGATTGGTTCCAGTCTTAGTCTGCAAAAGATAATAATAATAATAATAATCCCTGCATTTGACACAGCGTCTTATCACGTCGTCGAGACGTCTCAAAGCGCTTCACAGGATATACTGTAAAGTGAATTGACTGTATATTTTGTGGGCGAAACACGGCAGCCAATTGCACACAGCAGCGTCCCCCCAAACAGACGTGGAATAAAGTGAACAATTTATTATTTTTTTTGAAGGTGTTGTTACCCCCGGAAAAGCGATCCGCCAATCCTACTTACTGCTGGGTAAACAGAGGCGGTTGGAGCGAGGAAACTTGCCCAATGTTTCGCCCTACTCGGGAATCGAGTCTCTCACTTGCGAGCGCTCTAAACACCGAGCTACAGGACTCCTGGTTGCAGGATTCTGGGGGAAAAAAAAACATCTTAAACCCAGTGTTGATTTGCGTGTTGTTTTCATAGAATCTCACAGCACAGAAGGAGGCCATTCAGCCCATCGTGCCAGTGCTGGCTCTTTGAAAGAGCTACCAACTAGTCTCACTCGCGCGCTCTTACGCCATAGCCCTGCAAACGTTTCCTTTTCAAATGCCTACCCAATTCCCTTTTGAAAGCTACAATCGAGTCCGCAATTCATCGCTGTCTTAAATTTCCAGATGGTGGGGGTCTAGCGGGACTGTGGCTGTCTGGGATTCCGAGCCTTGGGTTACGGGAATCAAAGGGGTTCAGTTCAGTGTAGTGTCAGTGCCTCTCACACAATGTGACAGCAAAAATAAATAAATAATAAGCATTTCGTCACTCAATCCACCACTGTTTGCGAGACGCTACTGTGCGCCATTGGCTGCCGTGTTTCGCCCACAAAATATGCAGTCACTACACGTGGTAGCGTGTTCTGTGACGGGCTTTGAGACGTCTCGAAGACCTGACCAGGCACTAAATCAAATGCAAGGATTATTATCGTAATGATTATATTGTATTATGAATCATTTGGAGGCCGGGTACATTATATTATGAATCATTTGGTGGCCTTTCTCCTCTGCTCTCCGCCTCTCTCCTCTCCATAAGTGGAATTTGCAGAGTAAGGATAGATTTGTGCTAAACATCACGGTAATTTGACAGCGTTTCCAAATTGGCACTGGAGATATATCAATTTTACTAATAGTCCCGAAAAAAATCATCCCTCCCAGTCAATTCAATGAAAGCGTTTTAACAAGTTGACGTTTATAACCAATGCTCCTGCTGTCTCTGGATTTACACTGCTTTATGGGCTAGTTAAGAGTAAATGGAAGATGGTTAGAAAGTGTGCTCACGGTTCAGATTTAGTGCGTCTCAGTGACTGTTGTCTGTCAGAGACGGGGGAATGATTAACGATTCCCTTCCCCACCGCCGCGTTTCGCCCACAAATCGTGCAGTCAGTTCACTCGACAGCCTATTCCGTGAAGCGCTTTGCGACGTCTCGAAGACGTGATAGGTAAGAGCGCTGCATCGAATGCAAGGATTACTATTATCACAACTATTATTAGTACTATTATTACTACTACTACTACTATTATCTCTGGCTTATCTCCGTACAGGTCAGACGGTGTGCACCAGTGGCTCCGAGCACCCTTGCTACAAGATCGCCTACTTCCAGGAGCTGAGCAGGCGGGTGGGCTTCAAGGAGGCCAGCCAGGCCTGCCGAATGGACGGAGGGTCTTTGACCAGCGTCGAGTCGCTGGAGGAGCAGAGCCTGATCGAGGGGCTCCTGCAGGACCTGGCCAAGTCCGCTTCGGGCATCTCCGATGGCGATTTCTGGATCGGGCTGAGCCGGGGTGGTGAGGAGAGGGGTCACGCCTCTCTCACCAGCTGCCCCGACCTCTACAGGTGGACGGACGGAAGCGCGGCTAAATTCAGGTAATAATAATAATAATAATAATCCTTGCATTTGATATAGCGCTTTTCACGTCGGGAGGACGTCCCAAAGCGCTTCACAGAACACACTGTAAAGTGAATTGACTGTACATTTGTGGGCGAACGCGGCAGCCAATTGCGCACAGCAATGTCCCACAAACAGTCGTAGATTGAAAATGACCAATTTATTATTGTTTTGGGTTTTGGAGGGATTATTATTAGGCTCTGTGTGGAGTAAGGAAACTTGCCCAAGGTTTCGCCCTCTGCCTGGAATTGAACTCGGGTCTCTCACTTGCAAAGCGAGTGCTCTAACCACTGAGCTACAGGACTCGTTGTTGTTGGTGTTGTTGTAAGATGGAAGCAACCCTGAATCAACGCTCGTGTTTGCCATTCGATCCACAGTGGTTTTATTTACGGACAGCAATTAAATGCCGACACAGTCACAGACAGACACTGTGCAGGTCCTGTCCTACCCTATAAGCCAGGAGAGATGACGGAACACCTCGGCCTCTTGTTTTACAATGGAAAGTTCAGAAGATAATGCCGATGATAAAGTGATCTGGAAAAGTGATCCGCCAATCGACTAACAACCGGGTTCCTACTTACTACTCGGTAAGCAGAGGCGGGTCGGAGTAAGGAAACTTGCCCAACGTTTCGCCCTGCCCCGGGAATCGAGCCCAGGTCCTCTCGCGTACGAGGCGAGCGTTCTATCCGCTGAGCTACAGCTACTAAAGTGGTCAGGATCAGCCTCACAAAATAGTGTACACGGAGCCCACCCAGTGACTAGTTAGAACACCGGCCTATACTTGGCCAAGGCACGAAATTAGGATGTTAACGATCCCATAACATTGTTCGAACAGTGACCAGGGAATTTCAGTATCTTCAGTATCAATCTTCCACATATTATGCGCCAACTCTTTGTGGTAACTACCCATGCGGAGTCCTATAGCTCAGTGGTTAGAGAGACAGAGACTCGCCTCGCAAGCGAGAGGATCTGGGTCCGATTCCCCCCCGGGCGGGGGGCGAAATGTTGGGCAAGTTTCCTTACTCCACACACACGCCTCTGTTTACCCAGCAGTAAGTAGGAACCCGGTTGTTAGTCGGTTGGCGGATCGCTTTTCTGGGGGTAATAAGCCCTTCAAAACAAATAATAATATGGTCACTCAATCCACGACTGTTTGTGGGGACGCTGCTGTGCCCAATTGGCTGCTGCGATTTGCCCACAAATATACAGTCAATTCCACTTTACCGTATATTCCGCGAAGCACTTTTGAGACGTCTCGAAGTACGTGATAAGGCACTGCATCGAGTGCAAGGATTATTATTATTATTATTATTATGTGCAAAACGACAGCTGGGCAAGCCTCTTAAAAAAAGAGTTACCACGCTTGACGGTAGTTTCTGTGAGGACTGTAGACATTTCGATGTGATGGTTTTGCCAAAAACTTCCAAACGTGTGCAAGTGGCACCCTCCGGTGGTGGTTGCGAATGATCCAGCATTTCCAATCGATGCAAGGTCTCCTGCGCTGACCGCATTCATCATTCCATAATTAACTCGGAACGGCCTAGCCAGGCTATCGTGCATGTCTATTATATAACAACTACAGCCCCTTAAGATATATTTTCTTGAAGCACCGTGGTTATCATGTCAGCCGTGTCGGCGTCCTGTAGCTCAGCGGTTTAGAGCACTCGCCTCGCAAGAGAGAGGAGCCGGGTTCGATTAATAATAATAATAAGCCTTGCATTTGATATAGCGCTTTTCACGTCGGGAGGACGTCCCATAGCGCTTCACAGAATATACTGTAAAGTGAATTGACTGTATATTTGTGGGTGAATATTTGTGGGCGGATTCCCCGGGCAGGGCGAAACGTTGGGCAAGTTTCCGTACTCCACACACACACACACACACACACCTCTGTTTACCTCGAGGGAACTAGGAATCTAGTTGTTAGTCGATTGGTGGATCGCTGTTCCGGGCGTAATAATTCCTTCAAAAATAAATAAAAATGATTTGGTCACTTCAATCCACGACTGTTTGTGGGGACGCTGCTGTGCGCAATCGGCTGCCGCGTTTCGCCCGCAAAATATAGAGTCGATTCAATTTACAGTCTATTCTGTGAAGTGCTTTGAGATGTCGCGAAGATGTTATAAGGCACTTCATCAAACACAAAGATTATTATTTTATTTCACCACCCGATTTGGGAAGGGGAAGGGAGTTTTTCTCTCCCAGCCTTCTCGCTAACAATCCCTCCCATGATAAAATCGTGCCATTCGCCTCGTGCTGTTTGTGAGACACTGCTGTGCGCAAACTGGTTGCCGTGTTCGCCTGCGAAATACACAGTCACTACGCCACGTAATGTGTGAAGCCCTATTTGACGCCACCTGATGTGAAAGGCGCTACAACAAGAGCAACAACAACAAATTGCACGTGTACAGTGCCCTTACTATTATCATTAGTATTATTTGAAAAATCCCCCCACCCCACCCGCCAGATAAAACTGTTCGTTCACCTCGTTGTAGTTTGTGGCCACAGCGCTGTGCCCAAATTGGCTGCTTGAGTTCGCCTGTCGACACACAGTCACTACACTTGACCGCGATTGGAGTGTGCGGAGCTTGTAGTGATGGCTTGTGTTTTTTGCGCTGCTCTAGAAACTGGTACACAGACGAACCTTCGTGCGGGAGCGAGGCCTGCGTAGTGATGTACCATCAACTGTCGGCTCACCCTGGTCTGGGCGGCCCTTACCTCTACCAGTGGAACGACGACCGGTGTAACATGAAGCACAACTTCATCTGCAAATACGCAGCAGGTACGAGAGGACGGGTGCGTGCGTGCCGGCCAGTCGGCCGCGAAGGTTAAAGGCTCGCAGGGTCCCCACACGGCAGCCAATTGGGGTTTCGCATCGGGAGGATGTCCCCAGACCTTGGCCGGTCCAGGGATTTCACCGTCAAACGACTGTCACCGTAAAGAGCAACGACAACAACGTGCATTTACACAACGTGCCCATCACTCACTCACGCAGGGCAGCGTCCCAGAGCGCTTGACGGTGGTGGAGAACGACACCGAGCCGCGCTGGGGGGAGAGGGGGGGAAGAGGTGACCCTAGGGAGACCCGGGTTCGATTCCCGGGGCAGGGCGACAAGTTTCCTTACCCCACACACTCACACACACCCCTTTGTTTACCCAGCGGTAAGTAGGTACCCGGTTGTTATATATCGATTGGCGGATCGCTTTCCTGGGGATAATAATTTCTCAAACAAATAAAAACAATTGTGATTTGGTCACTCAACCCACAACTGTTTGTGGGGCCGCTGCTGTGCGCAATCGGCTGCCGTGTTTCTCCCACAAAATATACAGTCAATTCACTTTAAGGTATATTCTGTGAAGTGCTTTGAGACGTCTCGAAAACATGATAAGGCGCTGTATGAAATGCAAGGATTATTATTATTATTATTACAGAAATTATTAGGCCCAGGTTGGCAGGAGACAAGGCTTGGGGGGCGTCCCAAGAGTGTGCGATGGGGTGACTGCTGGAGTCTAACCAGTTTGCCACTGATGTCGCTGTCTGGCCAAGCTTCCCCGCTGCTTGTCCAGCAAGGACCACCCTACCCGTTAGGGCTTGGGCTTGTAGGGTTAACAGGAGCTGAGTGGGAGGATTCCCTGCTCTCCAGTGACTGGTCTGCCCTTCCAGGTCCTGCCGATGAGCCAGGCCGGGCTGTGCTGTCATCGGCAGTGAGTACCCTGGAATACTGCAGAATACTGGCTCTGGTATCGGACTGGAGACCGCCACAGAGGGCTGGCTCCCTTCCGACGTTCCTTGCCAGTTCAGCTCTAAGGAGACCCCGCTTAAAGTGTAGGAGAAAGGGAAGAGCGAGGGAGGTCAGGAGTCCCGCAAGATACAGTCACTACATGTCACCCTGGACCCTGTGAAGGGCTTTGAGATGCCCTTTTGACGTGAAATGTGGGTGTTATTGTTATTAATCATAATAAAAAAAAACACAAGTTCTTTCTTGCTCTGTTGACAGCAACTGTCTTAGGAAAAGAACCGGTGGAGAAACCAGAGGCAGACTACGGTAGGTGAAGTGTTTTATCATCGCTTTTATCAAGTATCCACAAGCCTCTGCTTACCCAGCAGTAAGTAGGAACCTGGTTGTTGGTCAGTTGGCTGTTGGCTTTTCTGGGGCGGGGTAATAATCCCTTCTTTTAAAAAAAAGGACTAAATTGATCACTCGATCCACGACTGTTTGTGGGGACGCTGCTGTGCGCAATTGGCTGCCGCGTTTCGCCCACAAAATATGCAGTCAATCCTCTTTACAAGTTATAAGGCACTATCCTGTGTGGAAGGTGCTGTACAAGTGCAAGTTGTTGTATATTCCGTGAAGCGCTTTGAGACGCCTCGAAGACGCGATAAGACGCTATATCAAAGGCAAGGGTTATTATTATTATTATTTTATTATTATTATTATTCTTGGGGCAAGGAATGTCCGACTCAGCGATTTTGGTTGAGGTGGAATCTCCATTGAGATCCATGTTCCTAATCCGTGTTAAGGACTACACCTTCAGCCTCAGGTTTAAGACTACGGTTTTCCATCGCTCGCTGTTCAGGCTGTGACTCAGGACGTTCCAAGGCGCTGAGCACTCAAGGGACTGCATCCCAGATGGGGGTTGGTATCAGGAGGGGTGGAGGGGAGGGTAGGGGTAGGAGGGTGGCCGAAAGGCATGGTTGAATGAGAAGGTCTTCAGGCGCGACCAGAAGATGGGAAAGGAAAGCAGGTCGGAGAGGGAGGGAGGCACCAGGGCATGAAGGGATTAGAAAACAAGTGAGAGGACCTTGAAATTGATCGGTTTGGCGATAGGGAGCCAGTGGAAACTGGCGAGGATTGGGGTGATGGAGGTTTTGGAATGTGGGATGGAGTTCCACAGGATGGGGAGGGGGTTGCAGAAAGGTTGAAGGCCTGACCGCTGATTGTGGGTGGGTGGGTGGGGGGTGATTTGGAGCTGAGATTAATGAGACTGTGGTCTGCGGCAATTCCAGAGATTATCCCCACAGAGGCAGGCATCAAACTGCACCGACCGAATAAATCAGAGGAGATGGCAATGAAAGAGTCTTCAGGTAACTGTCTGCACGTCCACAATCCCTGCAATCTGACAAAATCAACTTCTTTTCTCCCAGTTTGGCCACAAAAATAAATGAATGATAATAATTTGGGCACTCAATCCACGACTGTCTATGGGACGCTGCTGTGCGCAATTGTGTTTCGCCCACAAAATATACAGTCAATTCACTTTACAGTGTATTCCGTGAAGCGCTTTGAGATGTCTTGAAGAAACGATAAGGCCCTGTATCAAAAGCAAGAATTATTATTATTATTATTATTGTAAATCGGATTTTCTTCGAGTTTATACAAATTTGCCTCAAGCTCATACTGGGCGCAAGTCATATTAAATCGTGGCCTCGACCGATACGACTTGTATGAGTTTTACGCAGCAAAGAGACTGACCTGAAGGGAGAGATGACTTTATTTTCCTGCGTGTTACTCTCTTTTTTTTAGGGATCATGCCCAACGTGGTGTACGTGATTATTCCCACGATCCCTTTGCTGCTCCTGCTCATTGTGGCTCTGGCTACCTGCTGCTTCCAGATGCTGGGACGAAGGTAAGGCTGGCATTTTTTTAAGGGATTATTATCCCACCCCCACCAGAAAAACGATCTGCCAACTGGGTTCCTACTCACTGCTGGGTAAACAGAGGCGTGTGCGCGTGTGTGTGCGCGTGCGTGCGGTGTGCGGTGTGTGTGTGCGTGTGGTGTGCGTGTGGTGTGCGCGCGGTGAGAGTGCGTGCAGTGAGCGTGCGTGTGGTGCATGCGTCTGGTGCGTGTGCGTGTGGTGTGTGTGAGTGTGGGAACTTGCCCAACGTTTCGCCCGCTGCCTGGGAATCGAACCCGGGTCCTCTCGCTTGCGAGGCGAGCGCCTCTAACCACTGAACTACGTGACGGATTGGCCGGGTTTGTGGGTGTCAAAGCCGCTGAAAGGTATCTTTTCCGTCGACTGACAGCAAGCAACATACGAAGAGCAGCTCCACTGAGTCCACCCTGTGGATATCTCAGACCCCGAAGAAACAGTCTCAGGCCATCGTCTAGCCCTCAGCGGGCACTGACCCATTCCCGATGCCCCACGGAAACAACAACAGCGAATGACATTTGTGGAGCGCCTTTCACGTCGGAATAAACTGCACCAGGGGTCAAAGACGAGCAGGAATGGACCTGATCAATCACCAACCCCAACACCTCCTCACACCACCACCACTTACCTCCCCCCATCACCCTCCCCGCCACCCCGCCGCCCCCTCTTCCTCCCATCACCACCGTTTCTCCTTGGTATTGAGTGGTTGGACGTGATCGGTGTGGAGCAAGTGAGAGATCAATCTCTGACTGATTATGGACCGACTGTGGTGAGCAAGAGTGGTGTGGGGAGGGGGGGTGATGCGGGCTGTGGCGGTGGTGTGGGAGCTGGGGGCTTGGGGGGTGGAGTTAGGGTTAGGAACGAACGCACGCAAGAAAGAAAGTACCGGAAAGGAGAGAACAGAGGAAAAAAAAGAGCACAAGACAGGGCAAAAAGTGACTGTACATTCTGTTTATCACACCACATTGCACAAATTCTCTTCTGCTTCCCCCCCCCCTCCATCTCACTTAGAGAGAGAGAGAGCGATGCCAGCACTGGAACCCCCAGATGGGGGCAGGACTGTTTATGGATGTTTTTTTCTGGTGGGGGGAATGGGTGTTGGGTGAAAGGAGGGAGCGAGGAATGCGTATTAACCATCTGGGAAGGTTGGGGGTGGGAAGAGTTAGGGCTCAAGATTTCTCATGTTCTTAGGCTTGAGATCAATGTTTACTATCGTTTAAGATCGATCGGGAACTGCTGGGGGGAGTAGGTTTGAGTTCACCCTTAATTTGCGAGCTGATTTTCTGTAACACTCTGAAGAGAACCGCCTCCCAATTTTCCTCATTATTCTACAAAAATAATAATAATCCTTGCATTTTGATAGAGCGCCTTATCACGTCTTCGAGGCGTGTCACAGAATACACTATAAAGTGAATCGACTGTATATTTTGTGGGAGAAAATGGCCGTAAGCCTAAGACACATTATATGTGGAGTCGCATAGAATGAATTGGCATGTGTGTGTGTTTATATATTATATATTTATAGGCTATTTCTGCCCAAAATGTCTGTGTGGGTGTTTATATTCCCACAGATGAGAGCCCCCCCCACCCCACCCCTCCCATTCCTGTTACCGAACCCCTCTATTCACCTTCTCCCTCAAGTTTCCTCTTGAATAACTTGATGTTTTTTGCTTTCACTCATCGCTTCACCCTTTCTTCCATTTTCTCCGCGTAGCTCGGCTCATTGTATAGTGCAGAGAATTTGGGGGTGGGGGCGGGGGTTCAGGGCTTTAATCTGAAGTCCTGTCCGTGCCTGTTCAGGCGGATGTTAAAGATCTCCCAACATCACTTGAAAAGTGAAGGGAGTTTTTCTCTCTCTCTCTCTCTCTCTCTCACTCAGCGTCCTGGCAGCAATTGCCTCCCTCCCTCCTCCCAAATACAATTACTTGTTTGCTTTGTGGCTAATTGATTCCAGGATAAGTAGTTTGTTGACTCATTAAACAAATGTCTGACAAGAGTGTTATTGAATAAAATGTAGAGAGGTGGGTGATGATGAGTCTCTGGAATGCTCTTTCCCTCTCCCTACCTCCCCCCCACCCCACACCCTACGTCCCTCTCTCTCCCTCCCGCCCTCCCTCCCTCCTTCATCATCACCTCCTGATTGAGAATTGACTGCTGAGACTCTTTCTTAAAACCTTTTATTTTCACGAGGTTTGGGCCCAACGCAACATGGGTAATGGACAATAATCACAATATCTTACCATCTAAGGCGATCAGTGTCAGAAACTGGCAGTCCCAGCTCAGGGTTACAGACAGAGAAAAACTCCCTCTGCACTGCGCGTCCACACTCCCAGGTCAGGGTTAGAGATACAGTAAAGCTTCCACTACGCTGTCCCATTCCTGATTAACTCGCAATAGTTTAGTGTGTGATACCAGCTTTAGGATATTACATTTGAAGATTAAAATTTCACTTTAACATTATACCAATTACATTAAAAGCGCTTCGGGTCGATACCCAGTGTGAAGGGGACTGTATAAATGCAAGTTGCCGCTGAAATTATCGTTGTAGATTGGACGGTTTAAGTTGAGTTTTGCCAGTAACTCGCTTGCCAGCAGAACGTCTAGCGTACAGAGTGTATAGCGTGTCATTGATGGAGTCATTGAGCGGGGAGGGATGGGGAGGGGGAAGACAGTGGAAGAAGTGGGGTGTGGGGTGGTGGGGGGGGGCGAGCGGAGAGAAATGAAACAACTACGAGCTATGACACGTGATAATCAGCTCAGGGCTCTTCGGTGTTGAAAGCAGACGTCTCACAGGAGATCTTATGGAGGTGTATTACGACGGTGATAAATTGCAGGGAGCGCTTTTTCAAATGGGCTTCGAACCGTCAACCCAGAACAATACTTTCGGACGCATGAAGACGCCAGACGTAGGCTTAAGAGTTCAGTGTAGCGGGCAATTTCAGGACGGACACCAGGAAGTGTTCTGGTTTCTGGCGTTTATATCCTCTGGATAAAGAAACACTTCCAGGTCTGTCCTGAAATTGTGCGCTAGACTGAGCTCTCAGCCCATGGCTGCTGTCTTCATGCAATCGGAACAGGTTTATACCTGGGAGGGTGGGTGGTTGAAGCCACTTAGGATCTTGGAACCATTTAGTTGGATGCGGTTGATGGTAGGTTGACGGGACACTGCGTTCTGCGAACCCGACGATAGGTGGGTTGGAAAGGCCTCCTTCAAACGAACCGATCTCGTAAAGTTGTGCGGGGGTTTTAATGGAGAGTCAAGCAGCAGCTTTTGTGCGGTAAGGCTTCGCTCTGAAACCTTAGCCCAGCGACGGAGCACACTCTGGGCGTTCAGTCTAACTGCGTGACGTCCTGTATCCAGTCCAGGTATTCCGTGACCCGGGCGTAAACTCCGGGACTTTGAGGCCGTGCACAGCCCGAACCGAAGGAGGTCACTCCAGCCAGGAACCACCTCCCGTCCTCCTCACACACCAGAGGTCCTCCGGAGTCTCCCTAGACATGCACACGCACGCGTAAACACCCACCCACACACAGATGCACGCGCACACATACAGACATGCACACGCATACACACATACACACAGGTGCACAACCACAGACTCACGCGCACATACATACACACCCAGCACACGTACAAATACAAATGCACACACAGATGCACACAGCACATACAGACACATACACGTGCACAGGGACACACGCACAAACATGGATGCATTCACCCAGACACGCGCAGATAGGTGCGCGCACACACACAGGCGCACGCGCACATACACGCGCGCGCAAACACACAGATGTACACACAGACGGCACAGACACACGCACAGACACACAGACACACAAAGTAAAGGTAAAAAACATAAGCAATCTAACGCTGCCCAAATGAATAAATGCATCCAAAGTGATGCACCGTTCCTTGCAAAATTTAACAGTGTCCGAAACACAACTAATCCTAACATCGATGTGGTTGGGGCGGTGCGGTGGTGGGTGGTGGGGGGCCTGATATGCGGTATTTCTTCACAGGGTTCAGAATGGAAATGCGCAGTCATCAAATTTCTCGGACAAATTTCGCATTGTCTGAAATGTGCAGTAGAGAATTACGACGTAGTATCCAAGGCTCAAAGAAAATCCTTGGCTCAGTCTGTCTGCGAGACCCGTTTTGTCTGAAAATGTAGGAATTCACAGAACCGTGAAGCACTCTGAGTTACCCCCCTGACGTGAAAGGGGCTATTATTATTATTATCATCATTATTATTAACAATCGCCCCCAAATAAAATAAGTTGATCGTTTACTTTGTGGCTGTTTGTGGGACACTGCCGTGCGCAAATTGGCTGCTGCAAAATATGCAGTCACTACGCTTGACAGAAAATTCTGGGGAGCCCATTAGGATGTCCTCCCGTTATGCAAAGCACTGCACTAAATTCAAGGATTATTATTATTATTATAATACTAAATAAATTAGATACCATGAACTTACAGCACAGTAGGTGGTGATTGGCTGAGTTGAGTCTGTGCTGCCACGACACCATTTCCTATTGCACTGTGGTTTCCAAAATCCTCGTCCTCATCTTCGAGGCCCTCCATAGCCTCGTCCCTCCCCACCTCTGCAACCTGCTGACCCCAGATCAACCTGTCCGCTCCCTCTGCTCAGTTGGCTCTGGCCTGCTCCACCATCGGCGGCCGGGCCTTCAGCCTCTTTGCCCCCCACCCTACAGAAATCCATCCCACGTTCCCTTCACCTCGCCCCCTCCTTTGCCTCCTTCATGGTGCGTCTCAAAACCCTCCTTCTTCAACCGAGCCTTCGGCCACCCTCCCCAATCCCGAACCCCAGCTCGGATCCAAATCCCCGACAGTCCGACGCCTTGGGACGTCCTCCTGACGTGAAAGTAACTTTGCATTGTATTGTAGTACAAATTGACATTTATATATAGCACCTTTCACGTCGGGAGGACATCCCAAGGCGTTTGACGATCCAGGCTGGGAACTGAGCTGGGGGTTGGAGAGTGGGGTGTGGGGATGACTGAAAGCATGGCCAAAGGATGTAATAACAATAGTAATAATAATTGAATTTGATTTAGAGCCTCATAATAATAATAATAATCCTTGCATTTGATATAGCGTTTTTCACGTCAGGAGGACGTCCCAAAGCGCTTCACAGAACACACTGTAAAGTGAATTGACTGTATATTTGTGGGCTCATCACATCATTGCGACGTCTCAAAGCACTTCATAGAAGACAATGTAAAGTGAATTGACCGTATATTTCGTGGGTGAAACACGGCAGCCAATTGCGCACAGCAGTGTCCCACAAGCAGTCGTGGATTGATTCACCACGTTTTTCTTATTTTCTTTAATAATTTTTTTTGAAGGGAATTTTATCCCCGGTAAAAGCGTTCCGCCAATCGACTAACAACCGGGATCCTACTTACTGCTAAGTAAACAGAGGTGTGTGTGTGTGGGTGGAGTAAGGAAACTTGCCTAAGGTTTCGACCTGCCCCGCCCGGGAATCGAACCCGGGCCCTATCGCTTGCGAGACGAGCGCTCTAGGTCCTGACTTGGAGCTTGAAGGAGGTGAGGGAGGGACCGAGACGCCAAGATGGAGATCCAGAGAGCGCGGGCACAGAGGCACAACCTCCCGTGTGCTTTACCTGACACGTGTCTATGTTGCCTTCTTCATAACCCGCGCACAGCATGTTTCCTGTGATGTTGTACTGGGGCAACTGCTCCTGGCACTTGTCATTGGCGACGAGTGGAACAACTGCTTCCTGCAGGATATTGACTGGTGAACCTTGGAAGGGAAAGGGAGAGAAAGAGATTAGGTATGACTGGGCATTTGCAGGCCCATGCGGTAGCCATTTTGCGCACAGCCAACCACAGACTGAATAATCCTTGCATTTGATACAACGCCTTATCACGTCTTTGAGACGTCTCAAAGCGCTTCTCAGAATATACTGTAAAGTGAATTCATTGGCTGTATATTTTGTGGGTGAAACGCGGCAGCCGATTGCGCACAGCAGCGTCCCCACAAACAGTCGTGGATTGAGTGACCGATTTATTATGATTATTTTTTTGGAAGGAATTATTACCCCCGGAAAAGCGATCCGCCAATTGACTAACAGCCGGGTTCCTACTAACTGCTAGAGGCGTGTGGAGTAAGGAAACGTTTCGCCCTGTTCGTTAGCGCGTTTGGAGTTAGCGGATAAAGAGCGTGGAACATACCGTTCTCTGAGGCATAACCCCAACCCGCAATGGTGCACTTCAATCCTGATGGGAAGAACTGGCTCCTGTCTGGCAGGCAGACGGGTTGAATGTACGCTGTAAGATAAAACACACACAACGCCGTTAGCTTTTACCCCCCCCACCATTTGCATTTACCTTATTTTCCTTTTCAGGTAACAAAACAATATAATCCCTGCATTTGATCCAGCGCCTCATCACATCTGCGAGATGTCTCCAAGCGCTTCGCGGGACAGACTGTAAAGTGAATTGACTGTGTATTTTGTGGGCGAAACGCAGCAGCCAATTGCGCGCGGAAGTGTTCAATAATATCTCGGGATACGGTATATAATTTGGGAAATGATGTCAAACCAAGCTGCCAGGATGGTGGAAGGCGAACTGGATGGACCTTTGGAGACACAGTAAAGCTCCCTCTACCCTGTCCGTCTTCTGTCGCCAGCAAGTTCTTATATTCTTATTTATGTCCGTACCTGTGTATGTCAGTGCTCGGCCCAGGTGGATGAGGGCCACATCGCTATCTTTCGACCGCTTGTTATAGTGCGGGTTCATCACGATCCGGTCAACGTTTAGTTTCTGTGTCTGAGGCGAGGTCGGGTTCAGATGGCTGTGAAGTCCGACCAGTGCTGCCCAGAGGGTCAGACTAGAGGTCTTCCTGGAGAGAAGGAGAGAATTAAGCTTACTGTTACTGTTACTGTTAAGCGCTACCTGGCGTGCAGGGCGCTATATAAATGCAAGTTCTTGTTGCCTGTAAGCTTTGCCACCCACACCCACTGCCCACCCATCACCCATCAACACCACCATGCTCCCACCCCCAACCTCCCCAAGTGAAATGGTTCCCATGACTGAGCCACGACCAGCTCCTTCTCTCATCTCCTCACAGTCTACCCAACATCGGGATGAAGAATGCAAACATCGAGAGAGGTTCCAGGGTGAGCAAAATAACAACAACTTGCATTGACACAGCCCCCTTCACGTGGGGCAGCGTCCTGGAGAGTTTAGCAGTGGCGGAGCCTGATGGCGGCGGGCGGAGAGAGTGGGAGGAGGTGACCGAAAACACGGTCAAAAAAGGTCTTTAAAAGAGGGGAAGGAGGGGGTAAGGCGGAGGGGTTTTGGGGGGAGAAAGCGCCAAAGCTTCGGGGTGTAGTGGCTGAAAGCACGGCTGCCGCTGGTGGAACGGAGGGGATGAGGGACAAGCAGGAGGCCGAGTTGAGGCAGCGGGTGATGGAGTGGGGAGAAAGCAGATCAAAGGTGTAGAGAGGTGCCAGGGCTCAAAGGGACTTGTAGATTAGTGTGAGGACCTTGAAATCGATCTGTGACAGGGAGCCAGTGGAGCCAGGCAAGGGCTGGTGTGCTGGGGGTACGGAGTTTAGTGCGGTTGAGAATACGGGCGTCAGAGAAACCCTACAACGACACCTACAATGACACCAACTTGCATTAACTTAGCATCCCTTCACATGGGGTGTCATCTTCAATCTCTTCCCCATCCTTGGCCTCTTCGCCACCTGACGTTGAGCTGTTTCTATGGTAAATTCCCGGTGTGTCCTGACGGTAACCCACTCATTCTGGTAATCCATCCCTCCTTCCCTCCCTTCCTCCATCCCTCCCTCCCTCCTTCAGTGCTAAGAACTATCTGTCTATCCTACACTTCCCCTTCATGTCTCAAGGAGATAATAATAATCCTAATAATAACAATCGCTGTACTCAGCGGCTCAAAGCGCCTCACGGGATATACGGTAAAGTGTAGTGACTATGCGTTGTGTGGGCGAAAAGTTGGGAAGCGTTACCCGTAGACACAGTGAGCTGCTGTGACCAGCCATTCTTCGTTTACCACCGATGCCCCACATGAGTGCTGGGACCCAAAATACAGCGACACGATCCAGGGCCAGCTCCCCACGGTAGCGTTCACCCCGCCCACAATCCTCTCACTCTCCGTTGGTTGAACCAGCCGTGTTCCGCACACTGAGGGAGGAGAGCAGACAAACATCCCACGTTTACCCCGTGTGTTCGTTCAACTACAACGACGACGATTGCAGTGTCCCTCACGCTAGGGTAACGTCCCGGAAAGCTTGACAGTGGTGGACACGAGCCGAGCCGAGGAGGGTGGAGGGTGGAGAGGGGAGATGACCTTAGGCACGGTCGGAGCTGAAGGTCTTCGGGCGTGACCTACAGATGGGGAAGGAAGGAATGAGCAAGGCGGAGGGATGGAGGAATTTTAACCGAGAAGGGGAGAGCATGCAGCTGAGGTGAGATGAGCGGACACGCACAACAACAACAACAGCAACAACAACATTAACGATAAATTGCATTTAAATAGCGCCTTTCACGTTGGGAGCACGTCCCAAGGCGCTGGACAATAAAGGGTTTGCACCCGAGCTGCGGGTTGGGAATCAGAGATAGTTGGAGAGCAAGGGAGGTGGAGGAGGGAAGATGACCAAAATTTTATGGAGGGTCTTGGGACGGCCCTTGAAGGAGACAAGGGAGAAGGCGAGGTGGAGGGGATTCGGGATGGAGTTCCAGAGGGTTGGGGCCGGAAAGGCTGATGGTTCGACCGCTGGCTAACGGAGCAGATAATGCGGGAGGATGTGGAGCAGGTCAGTGCTCCGTATCTCGACACATATCTCATGTCTTATGGTTTGTCACTGTTGGGAAAACGCTTGTCACTTACGTTTACTATTACATGTCACGTGCATCATTGACTTATTCAAACAGCTCTGACTGGAAGGTAAAGACAATGATATCGGTCAATAATGTACACTCGTGGGAGAAAAAACACCAGCGTAGATGTGATAATAATAATCCTTGCATTTGATATTGCGCCTTATCACGTCTTCGAGACGCCTCAAAGCGCTTTATGGAATAGACTGTAAAGTGAATTGACTGCGTATTTTAGGGGCCAAACACGGCAGCCAATTTCGCGAGCAAAAATGTGTTCGGGAGGGATTATCAACACCGGAAAAGCGATTGCTGAACAACCGGATTCCTACTCGCTGCTAGGTAAACAGAGGCGTGTGTGTGGAGTAAGGAAATTTGCCTAAGGTTTCGTCCCGCCCGGGAACCAAGCCCAGGTCCTCTCGCTTGTGAGGCGAGCGCTCTAACCGCTGAGCTACGGGACGATGGTTATTGGATATCGTGGGAATTATCTGCCCCCAGGCTTATCCACGTCAGGAGAAAGTGACGTTTTTTGTCCGATGGCCTGAGTGCGGACATGCTCTCGACTCCCCACCCCTCCTCCCAGCTCACCACACCCCCTCCCCTCTCCTTTCCTCGCCCCGGTCTGCGCGCACCGTCTCCGAGAGGATGGATCCGCACCTGGGGGTTGCCACCAGCCCTCCATCAGGGGACACTGTCACCTTCACTAAGGACTCGTTGCCCATGGCAGCCACCATCCTAGTGTTGTTGTTGTCCCTGGGAGGAACAATACAATGAAAGACAAAATGACATGTGTATCTCACTGCTGGGTAAACAGAGGCCTTGAGTGTGTGTCACCCAATGTTTCGCCCTGGCCGGGAATCGAACCCGGGTCCTCTGGGCTCGCAATGCGAATGCTCTAACCTCCGAGCTACAGGACATAAGGAGCTGTCACTGAGACACATACTACAGCACCACCACCAACAGCACATTACATTTACACAGAAGCTGTCACGTCGGGAGGACGTCTCATGGCGTCTCAGGGATTTGGATCCGAGCTGGGGCAAGTTGGGACCAGGGGTTGTGGAGGCTAGGGACGGTGACCGAAGGCACGGTCGAAGTAGAGGGCCTTGAGACGTGCCTTGAAGGCGGCAAGGGACGGGGTGGGGTGGGGGGGGGGGGGGGGCGAGGCGAAGGAACTGTGGGATGGAGTTCCAAAGGGTGGGGGCAGAGAGGCTCAACCGTGGACAGGTCGACATGGGGAACGCCTGAGTAATCAGGACTAAACCGACATCTGTTTAGTCCTGACATCTAGGAAGGAAGTAAAGAATGAAAGAAAGGAAAGAAGGCAGGAAGAAAGGAAGGAAGGAAGGAAGGAAGAAAAAAATTACATTCTTACAGCAACCTCATCATTTCAAAACGTCCCCAAAGTGCTTCACAACAGTTACTGTTGAGCGGAGGGACTGATTTCTCGAGGCAAGTGTGGTAGCCATTTTAATAACAATGTGATAATCCTTGCGATTGATACAGCACCTCGTCACATTGTCAAAACATCTGAAAGAGCTTCACAAGCTATACCGTGAATTGTAGTGATTGCGTCTTTTGTAGACTATCGTGGCAGTCAAGTTATCCACAGCAAATGTCCCCGCAGGTAGCCAAGAAACAAGTGACCGATTTATTTGGGAGATTTGTTGTCTGGGACACCGAGACAGAGAAACTCCCTTCTCTTTTCGAGTAGCGCCATGGGAACTTTAACGTCTACCTGGACAGGTAGATAGGACCCGGGTTTAACGTCTCATCTGAAAGAATGGCACCTGCCACATTGCAGCCCTCCCCCAGCGATCAGTACTCAATTGCCCACGTGGGGCTACATGGGTTGTGAATCCCATTGTGGGGCTTGAACCCACAGCCTATTGACGAGAGGCGAGGGTGCTACCAACAGCAGCAACAACAACGACGACGACGATCAAGAACAACAACGACAACTAACATTTACACAGCGCCTTTCGCATCAGGAGGATGTTGTCCCAAGACGCTGGAAGATCAGGGACCCGCCCCCGAGCTGGTGGTCGTGGGGTGGGTGGGGGGTGTGTTGTAGGTTAGGGGTAAGAGGGTGACCGAAGGCAGGGTCTTGAGACGGGTCTTGAAGGTGGCAAACAGCAGGTACATATCCCACCTGAAACCCAACGTGACGCACACCGCATTCGCCGCCTCTTGTGGCCAGTCGTCGGAACATGTTGAGTACCACTCACTCCTCACGTTGAACTGCACCAGCCCATCACTGCTCCGAGACCCGTTCAGCAGACGCACTGAAGAATCATCGAATCAGATAGAATATTACATGAAACACAACGACACCTTTTAAGACAGGCTGTGCAAAGTCGGGTGAGGGGATCTTCAGGCAGGGAACGAAAGCTCCCACTACACTGTCTGTCCACACTCCCAGGTCAGGGTTAAGAGACACATTAACGATCCCTCTACACTGTCCGTCCACACACACAGGTCAGGGTTGGAGATGGTATAAAGCTCCCTCTACGCTATCTGTCCACAGATCAGTGACAGCGCAGGTTAGATACAGAATAAATCTGCCGCTGTTAACCTTTGATTGCCGAGTGAGCTAGATGGGGGAAGGTTGCGGAGGGAGGTGGAGCTGGATTTGGGTGCTACGCTACATCTTGATGCTCACATCAGCCAGTCAGAGAAGTGCGGAGGCAACCTCCAGTGTCACTCCTCAGTCCGGAGGGGAGCAGCGCGAAAGACATTTTTCAGGACGTCAACCGCCACAGCACACGCGTCAGAAAAGGCGCCAAGCTTTGGAGGGTGTAACATGGTTACCGCAATGCTCCTCGTCGTCACCGTTGGGGCACTGCTTCTGGCCATCGCACAGGTTGTCCATCGGGATGCACTCTCCGCTCTCACACTGGTACTCAACGGGCTTGCAAGGAGCTGGAAATAAAACCCGCCCCATCGTGAATCCGAACTTGCAGAGCCCCGTGGTGTAGTGGTTAGTGCGCTCGACCCGCAAACCAGAGGACACAAGTTCAATTCAACAGCGACAACTCGCATTCGTACAACAACAACAACAACAACAACAACAAGATTGCATTTATAGAGCGCCTTTCATGTCGGGAGGACGGCCCAAGTCGCTGGACAGTTGGGTCGGGACCCGAGCAGGGGGGAAATGGTCAGGGTGAGGGGAGGGAAGGGAGGGAGCGAGGAGGGGGTAGAGAGTCGAGAGGGGAGCTGAAGGCACGGCTGAAGAGAAGTACAGAGCACTTATAGGAACAGGAAAAGGCTATTCAGCCCCTCGAGCCAGTTCCGCTTTTCTTTAAGATAATGGTTGATCTGTACCTCAGCTCCAATTTCCCGCCCTTATCCCCATTCCCTTAATACCCTGAACTAATAAATATCTATCCACCTCAGCCTCACGCGCTGAATTCCCGGGCAGGGCAAAACCTTAGGCAAGTTTCCTTCCTACACACACCTCGGGCTACCTAGCAGGAAGTGGGAAGCTGGTCGTTAGTCAATTGGTGGACGCTTTCCAGGGGGGGTAACAATCTCTTTAAAAATAAATAAAAAAATTTCACTCAATCCACGACTGTTTGTGGGATGGATACTGCTTTGCATAATTGGGCTGCTCTGTTTCACCCACAAAATATACAGTCACTACACTTTACATATATTCTGTGAAGTGCTCTGAGATGCCTCAATGATGTGATATTAATAATAATCCTTGTGTTTGATATAGTGCCTTATCATGTCTTCGAAAGGGCTTAGTCAAGTTTCCTTTCTCCACATGCCTCTAGCAAGTAAGTAGGAACCTAGTTGTTAGTTGACTGATGGAGGGAGCAAGGAAACTTGCCCAACGTTTCAAACCCAAGTCCTTTTGCTTGCGAGGTGAGCGCTCTGACCATTGAGCTACAGGACTCTACGAGGTACTGTATCAAATGCAAGGATTATTATTGTTAATATCACCCCCGAGCGAGACGACATACCAGGCAAGCCCAGGTGATATCCAGTGGTGAAGTTAGCCAGGAATCCTGTCTTGGTCCCTGAGTTATCTGAGATGAATAATACGGTCATTTTGCTCGTGGTGGAGTAAAGATCAGAAACTGGATCAGATCCTGTGTAGACCACTGGAAATCAAAGGATACAAAACAGAAGTTGGTGAGTCTATCGCTGCACCGAAGATCCCAATACAACGCAATAAAATTGACAGTAAAACAGAGTCTTTCACATCAGGAGGACATCTCAAAGTGCTCAACATTGCTGGCTGGTCAGATTACGAGGATAAGCTCGGTCTCTATTCCCTTGAGTTTGTAAGGTTGAGGGGTAATCTGATTGAGGTGCTTAAAATATTAAAGGGATTCGATAGGGTTGCTACAAAGAAGCTGTTTCCTCTGGTGGATGGGGGGGATCCAGAACAATTGGGGTGGGGGGGCATCATCTTAAAATCAGAGCTTGGCCATTTAGGAGTGAAATCAGGAGACAGTTTTTCACCCAAAAGGATAGTGGAAGTCTGGAACTCTCTCCCTTCCCCAAAAGGCTGTGGACTATGGGGATCCATTTACGTTTTCAAGATTGAGGTGGATGGATATTTGTTAGGTTAGGGTATCAAGGGATAAGGGGAAAGGAGGGGTAATTGGATTGGAGTACAGATCAGCCATGTTCTTATAGAATGGCAGAATAGGCTCGAGGGGCTGAATGGCTTCCTCCTGTTTCTATGTTTCTATATTGGGCGCTTGAGTGTAGTGTGGGAGTCGATGGGAAAAGATGACCTAAGCAGTAGTCAAAGAGGTCCGACTTGTGAGGAACCTTCTTCAACGAGGGGAGGGAACGAGTAGGAGGGACTCTGGGATGGAGTTCCAGAGACCGAGGCAGAAGGGCTGAAAGCCAACCTGCCGATGGTGGGGCGAGTAAGGACCGGGGAACCGTGGAATAGACAGTGCTCGCTGAGCGAAGGGAACGTCCGTGTCCAGTAGGGTTTGAGGTAGTCACTCAATCCACGACTGTTTGTGAGATGCCGCTGGGCGCAATTGGCTGCCGCGTTTCGCCCACGAAGTAATCACTTTATGGTATATTCTGTGAAGCGCTTTGAGACAACAACAACAACAACAAGATTCCATTATTGAGCGCCTTTCACGTCGGGAGGACGTCCCAAGGCGCTGTACAGTTGGGTCAGGACCCGAGCAGCGGGGAAATGGTCAGGGTGAGGGGAGGGAAGGGAGGGAGCGAGGAGGGGGGACATGGTGAGGGGAGGGAAGGGAGGGAGCGAGGAGGGGGGAAATGATCAGGGTGAGGGGAGGGAAGGGAGGGAGGGAGGAGGGGGTAGAGAGTCGAGAGGGGAGCTGAAGGCACGGTCAAAGAGAAAGGTCTAAGAGACGCCTCAAAGATGTGATAAGGTGCTGAATCAAATGCAATGATCATTATCATTATTATTATTATTATTATCCAGCATCCGATTATTATTCACCCATCAACAATGATCCTTCTCCCCAGCCGTCTCTCACTTCCACCACGTCAGCGATCTTTTCCAAAGAGAAGTTTTGGAAATGGAGGTGGATATTTTTACCCTCGTCGGCGATCACATACCACGTGCCTGAAAGGAAAGACGAAAACGTCGTTCGAGGCCCGATACACAATTTACAGCCCGCGCCTCATCTTCACCGACGAAAGAAATTTGCCATTTAATAATACTACTAATCATTATCACTCTTACTGATAAATAATAATCATTATCCTTGCGCTTGGTGCAGGAAAACGTCTCAATGCACTCCTTTTTAATGACTATCCGCTCAACAGAATTACAGTCCTGCCCGCTCCCTCCGCTCAGCGGGCTCCGGCCTGCTCCACTTCTCCCCCGCCCGGCCCGCCTCACCATTGGCGGTCAGGCCTTCAGCCTCTCTGGCCACCACCCCCCACCCTTTGAAACTCCATCCCCACAGTCCCTTCGCCTCGCTTCCTCCCTTGCTTCCTTCAAGGCACGTCTCAAGACCCTCCTCGTCAGCCACCCTCCTACCCCTACCCTCCCTGAACCTCAACACCTTCCCCGATCCCAACCCACCCCCAGCTCAGGTCCAAATCCCTGACCGTCCAGCGCCTTGGGATGTCCCCCGATCCGAACGGCGCCGTGTAAATGTAATTTTGTATTGGAAAGACTGGAGTTTTTTTAGGGTGAATGCAATAGCCGATTTGTGCACAGCAGTGTCCCACAAACAGCCATGGAGTGAGTGACCAATATTATCTGGGGAATTATTGGCCAGGACACCGGGAGAGAGGAAACTCCCTTCTCTTTTCGAATAGCCCCGCAGATTTTTAACATCCACCCAAACAGGCAGACGGGACCTCGGGTTAACGTCTCATCCAAAGGATGTCAACTCCGACAACTCAGTGCTCCCCAACCCTGCATTGGAGTCTCAGTTTAGGCTGTAGGCTTAAAGCTTGAACCTAAACCATAATGACTCAGGGGCGAGGGTGCTAACGACTGAGCCAGGCTGGTGCACAACGGGGTTTAACATGAGTTGGTTTGCCACGAGCTTCCTTAGTGAGGAAATCGGGAGTACCAGTTACCAGAGGCAATTCCCACTTGGTGGAGCCTTGTAGCTCAGCGGTTAGAGCAGTCGCCTGGCAAGCGAGAGAACCTGGGTTCGGTTCCCGGGGCAGGCGGCGAAACGTTGGGCAAGTTTTCCTTACTCCACACGCACGCCTCTGTTTAACAAGCAGTTAAGAAGGAACCCGGTCGGTAGTCAATTGGCGGATCGCTTTGCTGGGGGTAATAATCCCTTCAAAAATAGACTGTTTGTGGCACTCAGCCCAGTCCTGTCAAAAGGAAGCCACAAGCCATAAAACCATAAGACCATAAGACGTGGGAGCAGGAGTAGGCCATTCGGCCCCTCGAGCCTGCCCCGCCATTTAATAAGATCATGGCTGATCTTCTAACCTAATTCCATTTACCAGCCCTATCCCCATACCCCTGAATCCCTCTGTCCTTTAGAAATCTAAGCTATTGAGGATCACGTACAAAATGCTTTGTTCACGTAGTTGTTTGGGTAATTCATTGAGCTGAAGGTTGTGTTGGGTTCCCTCAGCACCGTTGGACCACCACAGTCAGCTGAGAGAGAGAGAGAGAGAGAGAGACAGGGTTAATAGTATCACACGCAATAATAATAATAATCCTTGCACTTTATACAGCGACTTATCACGTCTTCGAGACGTCTCAAAGCCCTTCGCAGAATATACTGTAAAGTGAATTGTCCGTACGTTTTGTGGGCAAAACGCGGCAGCCAATTGCGCACAGCAGCGTCCCGTAAACAGCTGTGGATTGAGTGACCAAATGATAATTTTTTTTGTAAATTTATTTCTGTTTTGAAGGGATTATTACCCCCGGAAAAGCGATCCATTGATCGACTAGCAAGGGGGTTCCTACTTACTGCTAGGTAACCAGAGACGTGTGTGTGTGTTGCGTGTGTGTGTTGCGTGTATGTGTGTGTGTGTGTGTATGGTGTAAGGCATCTTGCCTATGATTTGGCCCCGCCTGGGAATCGAACCCGTGCCCTCTCGCTTGCGAGGCGATCGCGGTAACCACCACCTTACGGGACTCCGACTCTGAACCATTTACAGCGCCCAAGAAGGCCATTTGGGCCCATGGTGTCGCACTGGAAAGGAGGAGAAGGACAGAGGCTCTGAGCTCGGCCCTGGGCTCCTCAACCGGCCTCTGGGCTCCTCACGCCCCGGGAATCTCACTCACTGGAGCCCGCTGGAGGATCGGTGGGCTTGGGCACGTTGGTGGGCTCCGGCTGCCCACTGTCCTCACACCCGCCGCTGGTTAGAGCGATGTCGTCCAGAGCGATATCGGTCTCATCACCAGAATTTTTTACGGCTTCAAAGATAACCTGGAAAGGCAGTGAAAGAGTCGTGTCATTTGTTTTCCACCTCAGCAATAACAACTTATGTTTATATAGCGCCCTTCACGTGGGGTAGAGCCCCCACCGAGCGCTTGACAGTGGCGGAGTCTGACCCCGAGCCAGGGGGAGAGGGAGAGAGAGGTGGGAGGTGACCGTAAGCATGATCAAAAAAGGAAGGTCTTCAGGCGGGATTTGTAGGTGGTGAGGGAGGGAGGGAGGAGGGAGGGAGGCAGGGGGCGAGGTGGAGGGATTGTGGCAGAGAGTGACAGAGTTTCGGGGCGTAGTGGCTGAAGGCACGGCCACCGATGATGGAGAAGAGGGGACGAGGGACAAACAGGAGGCCGGAGCTAGATGAGGGGAGGCAGCGGGTGGTGGAGGTGGCGTGGGGTGGGGTGGGTGGGTAAGCAGATCGGAGAGGTAGGGAATCATTGGGTTCCTTGCTTTTCCTTCTTCTCTCTGGTCTCCCTCCCTCCCTCCCTCCCTCTGGCTCCTGACAGATATGCTGCGGTCATTTGAGTTAGATGGTGGTCACTGTGGTTTATGTGGCGGTCACTGGGTTTACCCAGTGGTTACCGATCGTTACGCAGCAGTTCTGCTGTTCGAGTGGTTTTCAGTCGTTACGGTGTTGAATATTAATAAACCTCGCATTTGATACAGCGCCTTATCACATCATCAAGACGTCTCAAAGCGCTTCACGGGATGTACTATAAAATGAATTGACTGTGTATTATTATAATAATTATTAGTAGCATTATAATAATAATATTATTTATTGTTGTTGGTATCATTGTTAGTATTATTAGTAGTACTATTGTTAGTATTATTAGTATTATTGTTGTTAGTATTATTAGTAATATTATTAGTAGTATTGTTATTAGCAGTATTATTGTTAGTATTATTGTGAGTTCTAATAGTAGTATTATGAGTAGTAGTAGTATTATTGTTAGTATTATTGTTAGTTTATTAATAGTATTATGAGTAATAGTAGTATGATTGTTAGTACTACTGTTAGTATTATTAGTATTATTATTGTTGGTTTTATTAGTAATGTTATGCGTAGTAGTATTATTAGTAGTTAGTGTTAGTATCAGTATTAGTTAGTATTATTGCTAGTATTATTGCTAGTATTATGATGAGTGAAGGTCACTAACCTGGACCGACGTGGTCCGGTTTAGGGTCAGCTGCCCGCGGTACCAGTGGTTGCCGTAGTCACCTTCTTGCCGGAACGCCGTTGGGATCCGGATGGAGTCGACGACGAGGTAGACGGTCAATCGGGAAACCTGGAAGCCGTACATGTGGTACCTGCGGCAGTGAACGGGAACAGTGACCGGAGAGCACGGGGATTGCTCTCAAGGTTTCGTCGGTAAACGCAGCAGCCCCAATGTTGCGCGCACGGCAGTGTCCCGCAACAACGAGCCGTGAAGCGAGCGACTAATTTTAACCCGAGGAACTGCGGCGAGAACCCGGGGATGTTCCAGTCAGAAGGTTGTGGGTTCAACCCTCCGTGTCATCTGGGCCTGACATTCCCAGTCCAGTGCAGCGGGAAGCGCTGTACTGTCGGAGTTGCCGTCCGTTGGCTGAGGCGTCAATATAACCGAGGTCCCGTCCGACTGCTGGGGTGGGCAATAAAGATCGCAGTGGCGCTCTAATAATAATAATAATAACAATAATAATAATAATAATAATAATCCTTGCATTTGATATAGCGCTTTTCACGTCGGGAGGACGTCCCAAAGCGCTTCACAGAACACACTGTAAAGTGAATTGACTGTATATTTGTGGGCGAACGCGGCAGCCAATTGCGCACAGCAATGTCCCACAAACATTCGTAGATTGAAAATGACCAATTTATTATTATTTTTTGTTTTGGAGGATTATTATTAGGCTCTGTGTGGAGTAAGGAAACTTGCCCAAGGTTTCGCCCTCTGCCTGGAAGGCAGTAATCATTGCATTTGATACCGCGCCTCAGCACGTCTTCCAGACGTCTCAAAGCGCTTCACGGAATATACTGTAAAGTGTAGTGACTGTGTATTTTGTGGGCGAAACGCGGCAGTCAATTGCGCACAGCGGCGTATCCACAAACAGTCGTGGATTGAGTCACAACGTTATCATGATTATTTTTTTTGAAGGGATAATTACCCCCGGAAAAGCGATCCGCCAATCGACTAACAACCGGGTTTCTACCTACTGCTCGGTAAACAGGTAAACCGTTTGAAAGGAGAGGGGGCTTTCTCTCTTCCCGACCGTTTCCCCCTCGCTTCACAGCTGTTTGCGGGACGTTTTGCCAAACTTGCTGCCGCTACAACAAAATTACACTTGCATAGCGCCTTTCACGTCGGGAAGACGTCCCAAGGTGCTGGACAGACAGAGTTACGGACCTGAGCTGGGGTCGGGGAGGGTGGAGGGAAGCAGGGAGATCGAAAGCAAGGTCGAAGAGGAGGGTCTTGAGATGGGTCTTGTAGGTGGCGAGAGAGAGGGGGCGAGGTGGAGGGACTGCGGAATGGAGTTCCAGAGGGTGGGGGCAGAGTGGCCAAAGCTCCGGCCTGCTTCACGTCCCCCGCCTCGCTCGCCCCACCAATAGTGGGGCGAGCGAGGCGGGGGACGTGAAGCAGGCCGGAACCGCTGAGCAGAGGGAGCGAGCAGGATGGTAGTGGGTTAGGAGGTCACAAAGTAGCGGGGAGCAAGACATGGAGGGTTTTGAAGGTGAGGAAGCCAGTGGAGTTTGGCGAGGATGGGGGTGATGGGGTCACGGAGCCTGGTGTGGGAGAGGACATGGGCTGCAGAGTTCTGGATGATCTGCAGCCTGTGGAGAGAGGAGTTGAGGAGGCCGCCAAGCAATGAGTTTGCATAGTTGAGCCTCGATGTACTGAAAATGTGTATGAGGGTCTCGGGGGCCTGCGGTGTGAGACAGTGTCGGAGCCGGGTGATGTTGCGGAGGTGGGGGAAAGGCAGAGCGGATCATGGCGCAGATGTGGGGTAGAAAGGATAGTTGAGGGTCAAAGAAGACCCCAAGATTCCGGACTGACTTAGCAAAGTGGAGTGTGCAACCACGGATGGTGATGCTGTCAGCGCCTGAGGTGCGGAGGTGCTGTCGGAGCCAATCAGGAGAACCTCGGGCTTGTTGACGTCCATCTGTGGAAATTTAGCTCTCATCCAGGACTTGATACAACAACAACACGACACAGTCACTGCACTTTACTGTGTGTCCTGTGAAGCGCTTTGAGGCGTCCTCCTGACCCGATATCAGATGCAAGGATTATTTTATAGCTCCTTCCAATGTGGTCGAGACATCTCGCACCACTTCCCAGGAGTCCTCCGGTGTGTGACTCGAGGCTGAGCAAAGAGTGGCTCGTAACTTACCAGAAACTCAGGCAGGAAGGCTGGCGGGCCAGGGATAACATGGGACTCAGAAGAGAGATCTCTCTGGGGTCACGGGACGGTTTCATCGGCGTCACAGCGTAAAAGCCTGAAAAAACAACAACGGTCGCGTGCGTCAGCCTGGCGCAGTGGCGGCGGTCTCGCCTCCGAGCGAACCCGACGGCGTGTTTTGCTGAGACTCGGAGAAACGTCAGGCATTCCACTTACCCGACTCGTTTCCGTACGTGTGATCGAAAATGGGCCCCGTAAAGGGGGGGTACTGTGGCCCGGTGTACCTCTCCCAGTCCCCCTGGTCCAACTGACATTGCTTCCAATAGCAGAAGCCGTCCTGGAAATCACACTGCACTTTCTCCTGATCTACCAACACAAATACATAATAAAGTACACAATGGTTTGTAACGGTTTGTAATAATACAACAGCAATAATAATAATAATAATGAACCGCTTTGAGACGTTTCGAAGACGTGATAAGTTGCTCTGTCAAATTGCAAGGATTATTATCATTAATTATTAGTATTATGCATTTGATACAGCGCCTTATGATGTCTTTGAGACGTCTCAAAGGGCTTCACAGAATATACCCTAAAGTGAATTGACTGTTAATTTTTGGGCGATATGAATTGCAGCCAATTGCCCACTGCAGTGTCCCGCAAAAACAGTCATGGATTGAGTGACAAAATTATTATTTATTTATTTATGGAATGGAGCGCTTTGAGACGGCTCGAAGACGTGATAAGGCGCTATATCAAATGCAAGGATTATTATTATTATTGCTATTATTAAAGTACAGACGTGGTGGGGCCTGAACGTCAAGTAAAGTCTGGTCGAGACACAGTATCTGAGCGTGGCGGAAGCAAGGCTTACTCCAGCGACTGAGGTCTTGACCTACCGTCGATTGTGCTGATGTTAAACACAGTGTAAGTTGCATTGAAACCGGTATACTCATTAGGAGTTTCATCAGACGCAAATTCCACCGTGGCACGATTAGAAAACAACCTCACGGTGGTGGGACTGTCACCGGAGACTGAGGCTGTGTGGGGAAAAAAAAGAGACGTTCGGGGTTTGTGTTATCACACAACAACGACAATAACAAATTACATTTGCACAGCGCCATTCACGTCGGGAGGACGTCCCAAGTTGCTGGGCAGTCAGGGATTTGGACCCAAACGGGGAGTTGGAATCAGGGAGGGTGGAGGGTGGGGAGGTTAGGGGTAGGAGGGTTGGCCGAAGGCTCGGTCGAAGAGGAGGGGTCTCGAGACGGGCTTTGAACGAGGCAAGGAGGGAACGAGGTGAAGGGACTGTGAGATGGAGTTCAAGAGGGCGGGGGCAGAGAAGCTGAAGGCCCGACCGCCGATGGTGGGGCGGGCCAGGCGGGGGACATGGAGCCTGCTGAGCGGAGGGAGCGGACGGGTTGATATGTGGTGGTGGGGGGGGGTCTCTCTCTCTACGGATAATAATAATAAATAAATAAATATAATAATTGCTATTGTATCATTAATAAATTCAAAGAAACCCGAAATTCCACCCAATGTTAGCCCTTTCGTCTTAAAACTTATGGCTCAGCAAAATTACGGGGCATTCTCGAAACCAAAGTAATAAAGTGGAAGAAAGGTGCCAGCCTTCCCAATCTAGATTGGATTTTTGAGATTGTTTTGCCTGGTTCCACGAGCAGGTTTGTGCTTCCAGGAAAGACGGTCTCAAGGGCTTAGACCGAGTTGGAATTTGGTCCCTCACTGGTGAATGAGTGAAAGGCAAAGCTGGAGCGAAAGGGACGAGGCTTGTGAAACCACTCACCGCTGAATTGTGTTGCATTGCCTATTCCTTCATAAAAGGTCAGGAAATCATAGTCTTTCTCAGTCTGGAGGGCAGTGAAGTTCACCTTTATATACAGGCCAGGGCCCACACTAGAAGTGAATACGCAGAGCTGGTCAACAGGCACGTCAGTGATAACAATAACAATCCTTGCATTTGATATATATGCGGAGTCCTGTAGCTCAGTGGTTAGAGCACTCGCTTTGCAAGCGAGAGACCTGAGTTCAATTCCAGGCAGAGGGCGAAACCTTGGGCAAGTTTCCTTACTCCACACAGAGCCTAATAATAATCCCTCCAAAAAAACAAAACAATAATCAAATTAGTCATTTTCATTCTACGACTGTTTGTGGGACATTGCTGTGCGCAATTGGCTGCCGCGTTCGCCCACAAATATACAGTCAATTCACTTTACAGTGTGTTCTGTGAAGCGCTTTGGGACGTCCTCCCAACGTGAAAAGCGCTATATCAAATGCAAGGATTATTATTATATAGCACCTCATCACGTCTTCAAGTCGTCTTAAAGCGCTTCATAGAATATACTGTCAAGTGGATTGACTGTATATTCTGTGGGCGAAAGGCGGCAGCCAATTGCACACAGCAGCGTCCCACAAACAGTCGTGAATTGAGTGACCAAATTATTATTATTTATTTTATTTTTGAAGGGATTATTACCTCCGGAAAAGTGATCTGGCAATTGACCAACGACCGGGTTCCTACTGACTGCTGGGTAAACAGAGGGGTGTGCGTGTGGAGTAAGGAAACTTGCCCAACGTTTCGCCCCCTGCCCGAGAATCGAACCCAGATCCTTTCGCTCGCGAGGCGAGTGCTCTAACCACTGAGCTACAGGACTCCACAGGTCTTTACAGAATATGCTGTCAAGTGAATTGATGGTGATTTGTGGGCGAAAGTGTTTGACTCGTCTTGTGTTTGACTTTCATCCAGGTTTCCACACTGTATTCTCAGCCGCAAATTATAGCAAATGATCGGACCCCCATAGAATTGGCACAGTGAAGGCGTGATCACACTACAGCGTGTAATTACTTGTTCTCGGAAAGTGCCAAAACCACGTTATGAATATTCGACAATGTTGTGTATCATTTCTTATTAATCTGTTAATTAATAATACATGTTACACAAAAATCATTAATTATCAATTCATCCAACATGTTGGCGAGATGTTGCGTTGAGTTGGCTAAGTGTCTTCTCCCCCCCACCCGGATATCTGGATATCACTAACTGTAACCCTACCTCTTCGTCCTGCAGAGGGAGAGCTTGCTTAAGAGAAGCCCAGAGAGAAGGAAAGAAAATGATAATAATAATAATAAAATAATAATAATCCTTGCGTTTGATACAGTGCCTTATCACGTCTTCGAGACGTCTCAAAGCGCTTCACAGAATATACTGTAAATTGAATTGACTGTGTATTTTGTGGGCGAAACCCGGCAGCCGTGTCCCACGAACAGTTGCGAATTGAATGACCAATTTATTATTTTTTTTTGAAGGAATTGTTACAGATTTGTTCAGAATTTACCCTCCTTCAATCGCAGGCCTTGTCCTCTGTATCTACTGTTCAGTCCAAGATAAAACAGCTTATCACGGTCTGTATTATCTAGTCCCTTTCGTCAATTTACAACACAAATTTACATTTATACAGCCAGCACCTTTCACGTAGGGAGCTTGTCTCAAACCTCTTGACAAGGCTGAACTTTTAAATGATAAAAAATGTAAATTAATTAAAGTTTTAAAACCTTGAATTTTTTTTTACTTAGTGCCGTGGGATCTTCAACTTCTACCTGTACAGGTAGAACAGACAGATGTCTCATCTGAAGGACTGCACCTCCAACAATACCGTGCACCTCAAGTATTGCACAGAATGACAGGATATCCTCCCCACGTGACAGACGCTTTATAAATGTAAGTTTAGTAAAGTAATAATAATAATACAACGGAAAGCTCAGAAGTTGATAATAATAATAATAATAATAACCCCTGCATTTGATACAGCGCCTTATCACATCTTCGAGACGTCTCAAAGCGCTTTTCAGGATGCACTGTAAAGTGAATTGACTGTGTAGTTTGTGGGCGAAACGTGGCAGCCAATTGCGCACAGCAGCGTCCCCACAAACAGTGGTGGATTGACGGACCAAATTATTCTTATATATAAATGTATTTATTTATTGGAGGGGATTACTACCCCCGGCAAGCGGTGACAACTGGGTTCTTACTTAGTACTCGGTAAAAAGTGGCGTGTAGAGTAAGGAAACCTGCCCAAAGTTTCGCCCTGTTATTGATTACAGAAGACTGTATGAGTTCCAAGTCCTAAAGAAGGGCTTGAACTCACAGACTTCTGACTCCCCAGGCAAGTGTGATATGAAATGATCCAGGCTGACACACTATCCAGCTGTTACTCAGCCACCACAACAAACATCAATAAATGACATTTGGAAAGCACCTTTCATGTCGGGAGGATGTTCCAAGGCGCTGGACAGTCAGGGATTTGCACCCGAGCTGAGGTTTGGGATAATAATAATAATAATAATAATCCTTGCATTTGATATAGCGCTTTTCATGTCAGGAGGACATCCCAAAGCGCTTCACAGAACACACTGTAAAGTGAATTGATTGTATATTTGTGGGCGAACGCGGCAGCCAATTGCGCACAGCAATGTCCCACAAACAGTCGGAGATTAAAAATGACCAATTTATTATTGTTTTTGGTTGTTTTGGAGGGATTATTATTAGGCTCTGTGTGGAGTAAGGAAACTTGCCCAAGGTTTCGCCCTCTGCCTGGAATTGAACTCAGGTCTCTCACTTGCAAAGCGAGTGCTCTAACCACTGAGCTACAGGACTCCATGGGATCAGGAGTGGTGGAGGGTGGGGAGGATTGGGTGTAGGGAGGGAGACAGAAGGCGCGGTCAAAGAGGAAGGTTTTGAAACTGGTCTTGAAGGAGGCAAGGGAGGGGGTGGGGGGCCGAGATGAAGGGACTGTGGGTTGGAGTTCCAAAGGGTGGGGGCAGAGAGGTGGGGCCGCCGATGGTGGGGTGTGCGGGGGACATGGAGTCTGGCTCGGAGCATGGCTCACATCTCTTCACTGGGGACTTTCAGCACAGATGTAGAGGCTGTTTGATCCACTGAAGCCCGCCTTGCGGTGATGGGAAGTGACTGTAAGCATTCCCAAGCTGGGGTCTCACCCGTTTGTGGGGACGCTGCTGTGCGCAATTGGCTGCCGTGTTTCGCCCACAGAATATACAGTCAATTCACTTTGCAGTATATTCTGTGAAGCGCTTTGAGACGTCTCCAAGGCCTAATTAGACGCTGTATCAAATGCAAGGATTATTATTGTAGTATCACCTGATGATCCATCGGCAGACGACATTCGGATCGTATGGTTTGGGGAAATTGATGGAATGGAAGGAACCGGTGCGGCCGCTGAGAAGGAATCTTCCATCACAGGGTGTAGCTGTGGACAGGAAAGCGAGGTGTTACTTTACATCCTGAATCTTCATGACCGCTGACAACAACGGTGGAAATGGATAGCGCACTCGGCTCGCAAGTAAGAAGACCCGAGTTTGTTTCCCGGGCAGGGCGAAGCCTTAGGCAAGTTCCCTTACTCCACACGCCTCTGTTTACCGAGCAGTAAGTAGGACCTTGTGAGGCATTACTATGCGCAATTGGTTGCTGTGTTTCACCCACAACATAACACAGTCACTCTATTTTACAGTATATTCTGCAAAGCACTTTGAGACGCCTCAACGACCTGATAAGGAGCTATATCAATGTAAAGCTTATTATTATTATTATAGGAACCCAGTTGTTATCGATTGCTTTCCGGGGTTATTAATCCACCCCAAAATAATATTCCACGGCTGTTTCTGGGACGCTGCTGTGCGAAATTGTCTGTTGCGTTTTACCCACAAAACATCCAGTTTACGGTATATCTGTGAAGCGCTTTGAGACGTCTTGAAGACGTGATGAAGCACTATATCAAATGCAAGGATTATTATTATTATTGTTATTTTTATAACAAGTGAAACCAGGGAGGAGATTGGAAAAGGGATTGTTCACATCGGGCATACTGGTGACTCGCATTAGATGGTGGGTTGGCTGGTTAGTCGGATTCCCCATGGGTTAACTGGTTAGTCAGTGGATTCTCGATGGGTTAGCTGGTTAGCTAACATTCTGCCAGTTATGACATGATTCCTGGTGAATCCCAGTGTCCAGAGGAGTTGAATCATGTATTTGACCCTGTGTCTATGATGTCAACGGGGGTTCAAAAGGCAATCCTTACGTAAATTAACACAGGACCATAATCTTTATACCACAGACGCCACAGGGAATGTATTCAAACTCCCCTACCACTTCTGCTCTCTCTCTCACTTTCTCTCTCTCTCTCTCTTGCTCTCTCAGGTCAACTTGACTCCCTTACTCTTCCATTCTCCATTCACTCGTCTCCCCTCACCAAGAAAACAACAACAAGTACATATAGCGTCTTTCATGAGGGGAGGATGTCCCCAAGCACTGGACTTCCCAAGGAGCTCTCCACTCCTCTGACTCTCCTCCTCTTGACTCCTTTCCTCTACACTCCTCTCCTCCGCATTCTCCTCTTGACCCCTCTAACACATCTACACCCTATTATGTTCTCAACAAACAGTGTGTAGAACACTCTTTTATTTCAGCTCACTGTTTACAAAACCAAACAGTCCAACCAAAAACCCTCTACTCAGTTCTCCCTGCTTCCTGTTTTTCTACCTCCTTGTTCCCTTTCCATTGGGCCTACTCATATTGGTCCTTATTGTCTTAATGAGCATCCAACACACCCCTCTATACAACTCTTTTTTCTTCTCTCAATCCTCTCCTTTCCTCTCTTGCTTCTACTCCCTTCTTTACTCCTCTCGTCATCTATCCACTGCTCTGCACTCCACTCTACTCCGCTGAAAACCCTTCCTCTTCACTCTATTCTTCTCATCTCCTCATTTTCCTCTTCACTCCAGCCTATTTTCGTCTTCACTCCTCCTCTTTGCCTCAAGCCTACTTATTGGGTTGGAGTCTGGTAGCATAGTGGTTAGAGCACTCGCCTCGCAAACGAGAGGACCCAGGTTTGATTCCCAGTCAGGACAAAATCTTAGGCAAGTTTCTTTATTCCACACTCTCGCCTCTGTTTATCTCGCAGTAAGTAGGAACCTGCTTTTTAATCGATTGGTGGATCGCTTTCCGGGGGTAATGGTTTCTGCCATTGTGGTTAGCAAGTGGTTTAGGCTTCTTGGATATTCATTAACACCAGGTTTACAACAACAACAACAACAGATTACATTTTTTTTACTGCACCTTTCACTTTGAGAGGACGCCCCAAGGCACTGGACAGTCAGGGATTTGGATCTGAGCTGGGGGTCGGGATCAGGAGGGGTGACGAGTGGGGAGGGGAGGATTAGGAGGATGGCTGAATGCACGGTTGAAGAGGAGGGTCTTGAGATGTGTTTTGAACGAGGCAAGGGAAGGAACGAGGCAAAGGGACTGTGGGATGGAGTTCCAAAGGGTGCTTGCTATCTAAGAGTATGGTTGTTGTGCAGGCAGCAGCTTCTACACTGCAATAAAATTCACACATCCTGGTGTTCACATTGTGTGACCGTCCATCATAGAATCATAGAGTTATACATCACAGAAGGAGGCCATTCGGCCCATCGTGTCTGTGCCGGCTCTTTGAAAAGTGTGATCCAATTCAATCCCACTCCCCCGCTCTCTCCCAATAGCCCTGCAAACTTGTCCTCCCCAAGTAATTATTTACCTCTCTCTTAAAAGTTGTTATCAAAACAGCTTCCACCACCCTTTCAGGCAATGCATTCCTGATCCAAACAACTCGCTGTGTGAAAACATTTCCCCTCACCTCCCTTCTGTTGCTTTTAACAACTATTTTAAATCATTGTCCTCGGGTTACTGACCCACCCTGCCAGTGGAAATCGTTTCTCCTTGTTCACCCCATCGAATCCCCTAATAATTTTGAAAGCTTCTATTAATTAACCTTCTCTGCTCCAAGGAAAATAATCCTAGGTTCTCTAGTCTCTCCTGATGACTGAAATCCCTCATTCCTGGTACCAACTTGGTAAATCTCCTTTGCACCCTCTCCAATGCCTTGACTTATAATAATATAATAATAATAATCCTTGCATTTGATATAGCGCTTTTCACGTCGGGAGGACATCCCAAAGCTCTTCACAGAACACACTGTAAGGTGAATTGACTGTATATTTGTGGGCGAACGCGGCAGCCAATTGCGTACAGCAATGGCCCACAAACAGTCGTAGATTGAAAATGACCAATTTCATATTGTTTTTTGGTTTTGGAGGGATTATTATTAGGCTCTGTGTGGAGTAAGGAAACTTGCCCAAGGTTTCTCCCTCTACCTGGACTTCCTTCCTATAGTGTGATGCTCAGAACTGAACACAGTCTGTAGCTGAGGCCTAACCAGCATTTTATAAAGGTTCATCATAACTTCCTGACTTTTGTATTCTATGCCCCTATTTATAAAGCCCAGTATCCCGTATGCTTTTTTAACAGCTTGATCCGCCTGTTCTGCCACCTTCAAAGATTTACTTATATGACCCCCAGGTCTCTCTGTTCCTTCACCCCCTTCAAGATTGTACCATCAGCTTATATTGCCTCTCCTCATTCTTCCCAAAACGCATGACTTTGCATTTCTCCATATTAAACTTCATCTGTCATGTGTCTGCCCATTTTACCAATCTGTTTATGTCCTTGTGCAGTCCTCTACTATTCTCCTCACCATGTACTACTTTTCCTAGCTTAGTATCATCTGCAAACTTAGAAATTATACTCCCTATACCCAAGTCCAGGTCATTTATATAGCTCATCTTCGGATACCAAGGGTTTGCAATATTATTTATTGTCCATTGCTGTGTGCAAACTGGCTGCTTTGCCTATAAATGCACTGCACTTGTCAGCAATTACTTATGAAGGGTGTTTCAAAGTGCTTTAGGCACTGTATAAATCCAAATTCTTTCTGTTTTTGTGTGTGTGCGTAACACCAATAGATAGATGGAAATCCAGAGTATTCAGGCTTCCTCACATAGCCGACGTGGAATCACACTGTCTAAGCCGACACTCCAATGCAATGCTGGGGGAGGTGTAGCATTGTTGGAGGTGCCGTCCTTCAGATGAAGTCCCTGTTCAGGTGCACATTAACGATCCCATGGCATGACATAAAAAGAGAAGGGAATTTCTCTCCCAGTTTCCCAGGCAACAAATCTCCCAATTTTGTCACTCAATCCACGACTGTTTTTGCCATGCACAGTCGGCTGCCATGTTTCGCCCACAAACTACACGGTCAATCCACTTCACGTGCTGCATTTGTGAAGTGCTTTGAGGCGTCTCGGAGACGTGATAAGGCGCTGTATCAAATGCAAGAATTATTATTAATATTAACTGCGGAATATTTTTGCGATGACGGCCGAACGAGTTATCCTGAGTCCAGCTACCGGTCACCTCCGTAAGATTCCAAGTTGCTCTCTGATGCTACTCTGCGTGAGGGACGCGAAATAAATGGCATTGTTGTTGTTGTTGTGAGATGGAAACCCCCTGATGCAACGCATGTGTTTGCAAACTGATCCACAGTAGTTTTATTTACAGCAGACCTATTAAATACAGACAGACAGTCACAGACCCTTTGCAGAATATGCTACAGGCCAGGAGAGATGATGGAGCATCTCGGCCTCTTGTTTAGCAACGGAAAGCTCAGACGTTGATGATAATAATAATAATAATCCTTGCATTTGATATAGCACCTATCACATATCAAAGCGCTTGACAGAATATTTTATGGGCAACACACGGCAGCCAATTGCACACAACAGTGTCCCGCAAAACAGTCGTGCATTGAAGTGATCAATTTATTATTATTATTTTTTGTTGAAGGAATTATCACCAATGGAAAAGCGATCCGGCAATGGACTAACAATCAGGTTCCTACTTACTGGTGGTAAGCAGAGGCGTGTGGAGTAAGGAAACTTGCCTAATCCCTCGCTTCTAAGCTGAGTGCTCTAACCACTGAGCTACAGGACTCCATGATGGACGGGATTGATCGGGTAGGGAGAATCCTCTCGGAGTCCAGCTGATTTGCTGCTTCCCTGAAGCTTGGGAGTTCTTGGGCCATTTCCAAATGGTCACTTCAATCCACGACTGTTTGTGCGCAATTGGCTGCTGTGTTTCGTCTACAAAATACGCAGTCAATCCACTTGACGTGCTCCACATGTGAAGTGCATTGAGATGTCTCGCCGACGTGATACAGGACGATATCAATGTTGAAAATCAATGATAGACAGGGCCTTTCCTGCACCTGACCTCTACATCACTGAGATGGAGCCACTTGCCCCCTAACAAAGTGCATTGTATTTAAGCGCGTCATGAATATCCCTCAAGTCAGGGCTCGACAGGGCTCTTGCCTTCTGGGTCAGAAGATTGCGGGTTCATTCATGGCCCACATTGGGACTTTGAGCTCATAGTCCAAATTGATGCTCCAGTATAGGACTGTGAGGGAAATGTTAGATCAAGATACCGCCTGTGCCTGTTCGGGTTCAAGTCAAAAAATCCTCTGACGTCATTCGAGAAGAGAAGGGAGTTTTTCACTGGGAGTTTCCTGGCTGGCTATCCTCCAGATAAAATCAATCACTCACCCTGTGTTTGCCTACAAATAAACAGCCGTTGCACAATACTGCACTTTCGGATGCACCAAAACAGTAGCACAAGACAATGTATAATAATCATAGTAATAATGATAGTCTTTGCATTTGATATAGTGCCTTATAAGAACACAAGAAATGCTAGACGATAAAAGACCAAGGTCCACCTAGTTCGACTTCCACCTTCCTGGTAGTCGCGTGCACATATGTCCCGAACTCCCTATGGACTATACCCCCCATAATGTTGTTTCCTAAAAGAAAACTATCTAATCCGTGTTTGAAAAAATCAACACTACCTGCTTCAACCATCTCCCGCGGAAGCTTGTTCCACAGACTCACTATTCGCTCACTGAAAAATTTGTTCTGCAACATCCTTGAGTTCTCTTTCCAGATCAGATAGATTACACGTCTCCTCCTTGGTAAATCCCGATACAAAAAACTTATTTAGCACTACTGCAGCCTGTGCAGCCGAGACCCATCTTCAGTGGCCCTATTACATATCTTGTTTTTCTTTTACTCAGAATGAAACTAAAAACTGTTTTGTTATCATCCTTCACATCTCGTGCCATGTTCAATTCAAAGCTTTTCTTTGCCATTCTGATGCGTTTCCTGTAGTTCTGGCATGTGTTCTGACATTGAATTTAACTTAATTCTGACTTATCATGTCTTCGAGATTTCTCAAAGCGCTTCACAGGACATACTGTAAAGTGAATTGACCATAGTTGTGGGAGAAACACGGCAGCCATTTGCGCACAGCAGTGTTCCACAAACAGTCGTAGATTGAAGTGACCAAAAGTTTATTATTATGTTTTTTTTGAAGGAATTATTACCCCCGGAAAGGCGATCCGCCATTTGACTAACAACCGGGTTCCTACTTACTGCTGGGTAAACAGAAGCGTGTGTGTGTTGAGTAAGGAAACTTGCCCAATGTTTCACCCTGCCCGGGAATCGAAGACAGGTGCTCTCGCTTGCGAGGCGAGCGCTCTAACCACTGAGCTGCAGGACGTTCTGTATCCATACATGCATCAATACATTCAATAAATGCAGACAACATGAGTTAAGTGGTTGCGACAAGCTAAGACGCGGTCAAGTTATCAGGACTTTATTGCAGTTGAACCGAGCGGCCTGTTTCCATGTGGATCGCTATGTAACTTCTATGTACTTCATTTTCTTTATTTGTTTTCCTCCCACATCCCACCTTCGTCCCCCCGCCACCCCACCCCACCCCCCACCACCCGCACGAGTTGATCTCAGAGAAGAAAAGGAGACGAACCACAATCGTCCACGTTCTCGTCTGAACTGTCCGGACAGTCAGCCTCCCCGTTGCAGAACAGCTTGGTCTCGATACACTTGTTCCCGTTGCTGCACTGTCGATATCCCTCTGAGCAGTTACCTTCAGCACGTGAGAAATGCAAGGATTAATATTATTCCTGGATAAGAGCTCACTTTCTCCAGTTGAAACTTAGCCAGACCATGGCTCTCCTGCTTGGCTCCAGTCAGCGCCTCCATACCTCGGGCGCTGACGGGAGCCTCCGTGGATGACCTCTGCACCTCGCGGAGCCAATATGAAACCTCGGCGTCCCGTTCGATCCTCAACTGTCCTTCATCCCCCACATCTGTGCCATGACCCACTCCGACTTTCTCCACCGCCACAATACTGTCTGCTCGGCTCGGCCACTGTCTAACACGGCAGGCCGCCAAGACCCTCATACACACATTCATACCATCTCCACAACGCCTCCCTCCGTGGGCTGCAGTTTATCCAGAAGTCTGTAGACCGTGTCCTCTCCCGCACGAGGCTCCGCAATCCTAACACCTCCATCCTCGCCCGACTCCACTGGCTTCCCATCACCCAGTGGATACAGTTCAAGATCCTGGTCCTCACCTTCAAACCCTTCCACGGCCTTGGTCCTCCTTACCTCCTAAACCCCTACCATCCTGTCTGCTCACTCTGCTCAGTGGGCTATGGTCGTGCTTTACGTTCCTTGCCTTGCCAGCCCCACCATTGGCGGGTGGGCCTTCAGCCTCTCTGCCCCAACCCTCTGGAACTCCATCTCACCACCTCTTCCCCTCCCTTACCTCCTTCAAAACCCATCTCAAGACCCTCCACTTCGACTGTGCTTTGGTCACACTACTAACCCTGCCCTTCCCGCCCTCCACCCCTCCTGATCTCAACCACCAGCTCGGGTGCGGATCCCTGACTGTCCAGCGCCTTGGGACGTCCTCCTGACATGAAAGGCGCTGTGTAAATGTCATTTGTTGTTTTTTATTATTATTGAAGAAAATAGGACTGGAGGTTGAGAAGTTTATTCCAAGGAAAATTATAGAATGCTTTGTGAGTTGTATAAACACAGCCAGCATTTACTGGCTCATAATAGTACTATTATTAGTACTAATAATACTAATCATTGCGTCTCAAAGCGCTTCACAGAATATAATGTAAAGCGGAGTGACTGTACATTTGTGGGCAAAACGTGGCAGCCAATTGCACGCAGCAATGTCCCACAAACAGCTGTGGATTGAGTGACCAAACTTTTTTTATTAACCCTGGAAAGCGACCCGACATTTGAATAACAAACGGAACAGGATCCTACTCGGAGCAAAATAAACAGAGGCGCGTGTGTGGAGCAACAAGACCTGCCAAAGATTGTACCCCGGCCGGGAATCAAACCCAGGTCTTCTCGCTTGTGAGGCGAGCTCGCTAACTAATACACTGCACATTATCACTCGTGGCTTGGCGAATTTCCGAGAGTAGGAATCTCTCACCTGATATTGGAGTTGTCAGAATCTTGGTGCTCGGAGCTTGGGTCGTCCGTTCAGGTGCTGGTGAAATAAAATAAAAATAAAATAAATATAGGACAGAGGCAGAGATGAATGCCCGGTTGTAACACTGAAAATACTAACACAGCAACTGCTATCACATGTAGTTTCTTTTTGCCCAAGTATCATTTTTGCAGACACTAAGGTCCTTTCCACTACTATTTAACCGTGTGATTGTCAGCCAGTACACCGCGAGAAACTGCCTCCCATCTCTTTTTTAATTTAAGGGATCAGTGGAGTCTTGTAGCTCAGTGATTAGAGCACTCGCCTCGCAAGAGAGAGAGAGGACCTCGGGTCGATAGTGGGTTGATAGATATCTAAAGGATAGAGGGATTAAGGGATATGGGGATAGGGCGGGTAAATACAATTAGATTAGAAGATCAGCCATGATCTTATTAAATGGCTGGGCAGGTTCGAGGGGCCGAATGGCCTACTCCTGCTCCCACGTCTTATGGTCTTATGGTATTATGGACCTGGATTCGATTCCCGGGCAGGGTGAAACGCTGGGCAAGTTTCCTTACTCCACACACCACTCTTTACTTAGTAGTAAGTAGGAACCCGGTGGTTAGTCGATTGGCGGATTGCTTTTCCGGGGGTAATAATTCCTTCAAAATAAATAAAAATAAATTGGTCACTCAATCCACGACTGTCTGCGGGACGCTCCTGTGTGCAATTGGCTGCTGTGTTTGGCAATTCACTTTACAGTATATCCTGTGAAGCACTTTGAGACGTCTCGAAGAGGTGATAGGGCGCTGTATCATATGCAAGGATGATTATTATTATTACTATTATATGCATCTGAATTTCTTATCCAAAGGCAGCACCTCCAACAACCTCCCCACCCCCGCGTCCCCCACCATATTAGCGTCCCAGAGCGCTTGATAGTGGAGGAGCTTCACGCTGAGCCGGAGAGTGGCGGAAGGTGACCGTAGGCACGGTCAAAGAGGAAGGTCTTCAGACAATGGAACTAATACAAGTTCAATGGCCCAGAGTGAGGGCTTGAACCCACGGCTTTCTGACCCCGAGGTATGAGTCTACCAACTGCGCCAAGCTGTCAGTGGGCAAAAGTGCAGCTAAAGGTTGATCGAGTGGCTTGACCCCCCCCCACTCCACCACCCGCTGCCTCCGCTTAGCTGGCTCCGGCTTCCTGATTGTCCCTCGTGGCCTCCACTACGCCCCGAAGCTCTGGAATTCTTTCCCTCAGTCCCTCGGTCTTGTCCCCTCCCTCCCCACTTTCAAATCCCACCTTCCTTTTTGATGGTGTTTACGGTCACCTCTCCCCCTTTCTCTCTCTCTCTCTCTCTCTCCCTGGCTCGGGGTCAGACTCCGCCACTGTCAAGGGCTCTGGGACGCTACCCTGTGTGAAGGGTGCTACATAAATGCAAGTTGTTGTTGGCGCTGTACAGGAGCATCGCTCTGTTCCGTGGCTGTCTGCTAACACCCAGAGTTCTCCTTACGTTTGATATCGACGCTATTAACGTCAATTACGAAATTTCCCAGGATGCCTCCCTCGTTGGCCTCGATGCTGGACACCATCTCTTTGTGGACCTCCTCGTCCTGGACTAGGGCGGAAAACTGTAGGCTGAACCACACGTCCACACTCCCATTCCTGCAAAGCACGAGGTAAAAACACAGCTGGGACCACAACTCACATTGTTTATTCCCCTCCTTTACAGAAGAGTGTGAAGTAAGGAAACTTGCCTACTGACAACAACAAATGACACTTAAACAGGCCTTTTCACGTCAGGAGGACGTTCCCAAGGCGCTGGACAGTCAGAGATCCGCACTCGAGCTGGTGGTTGGGATCAAAAGGGGTGGAGGGCGGTGTGGGTCGGGGAAGGAGGGTAAGATCGAAGAGGAGAGTCTTGAGACTGGTCTTGAAGGAGGTATGGGTGGGGGCGAGGCGGAGAGCCTAAGGTTTCACCCTACCCGTGAATCAAACCTGGGTCCTATCGCTTGCGAGGCGAGCGCACTAAACACTGCGCCGTGGGACTCAAAAATGCAAAATTACTCTTGTATGGCGCCGCTTTTCACATTGGGAGGACCAACGTGAAAAGTCAGGGACTTGGACCCGAGCTGGGGGTTATGATCAGGGAGAGCGGAAAGCAGGGAGGGCAGGAAGTTGGCCAAAGGTTGGTCAGCAGGTCACAGAGCTAGGAAGGAGCAAGGCCATGGAGTAACGCCGTTTATTCCAAAATAATGTGGAAATCATAGATTCATAGAATTCATATACAGCACAGAAGGAGGCCATTCGGCCCATCGTGTCTGTACCGGCTCTTTGAAAAGAGCTTCCAAATCAATCCCACTCCCCCGCACTGTGCCTATAGCCCTGCAAACTTGCCCTCCCCAAATAATTATCTACTTCGCTCTTAAAAGTTGTTATCGAATCGGCTTCCACCGCCCTTTCAGGGAATGCATTCCAGATCCAAACAACTCACTGCGTGAAAACATTTATCCTCACCTCCCCTCTGTTTCTTTTAACAACTAATTTATATCGGTGTCCTCTGGTTACCAATCCACCCTACTAGTAGAAATTGTTTCTTCTTGTTCACCCTATCGAATCCCCTTATAATTTTGAAAACATTTTGAATCGATTCCGGGTCTCTCGCTTGCGAGGCGAGTGCTCTAACCACTGAGGTACAGAATTCCACAGATTGTCACGTTGTCGTAAGCAATTATCACTGACCTGAACTGCAGCACCTCACAACTTCTGTACTCTTCCGTCAGTCCACTCTGCGATAGGATGTTGTTTATCTACACAAAACCATCAATGCACTCTTAATTATGGTGGTAAATGCTCATTTTTCTGTGCCTCACGTTATTTTGATATGCATTTGACATAACGCTCTGTGAGACATCTCGCAGCACTTCACAGGAATCACTGTGAAGTGCAGTGACTGTGTATTTTGTAGGCGAATGAGCAATTTTATTTATGGGTGGAGGGTTCCTCCAATGTATGTCGCTATCTCCATCCACCAGTGTGTGTAATGTATCGCCCTCTGCTTGGTGGGCTCTGGCCTGCTTCACGTCTCCGGCCTTGCCCGTCCCACCATCGTCTGGCTGGCCTTCAGCCTCTCGGCCCCCACTCTCTGGAACTCCATCCCTCAATCCCTCCACCTCGCTCCCTCCATTGCCTCCTTCGAGACCCTCCTCTTCGACGTGCTTTCAATCACCCTCCAACCCCTACCCTTCCCGCCCTCCACCCCTCCTGATCCCAGCCACCAGCTCGGGTGCAGATCCTTGACCATCCAGCGCCTTGCGACGTCCTCCTGACGTGAAAGGCTTTGGGTAAATGTAATTTGCTGTGGTTGTTGTGTGTCTCTATCTGCATCCACTGTGTGTCTCTCTCTCTCTCTTCATCCACTGTGTCATAGAAACAGGATTAGGCCATTCAGGACCTCAAGCCTGTTGTGCCATTCTATAATATCATTACTGATCTGCACCTCAAGTCCAATTAACCGCCTTTGCCCCATATCCCTTGATACCCTGAACTAACAAATCCACCTCAGTCTTGATGATGTGAATGGATCCAGCCATAACCCACAGCCTTTTTGAGGAGAGAGAGAGTTGCAAGTTTCCTCGACCTTTTGGGTAAAAAACTGCCTCCTGATTTCACTCCTAAATGAGCTCTAATTTTAAGATGCTGGCCCCCTTGTTCTGGATTTCCCCACCAGGGGAAACAGTTTCTCTGTAGCTACCATATTGAATCCCTTTATTATTTTAAAATCCTCAATCAGATCACCCTTCAACCTTCTTAAACTCATGGGAATAGAGATCAAGTCTCTATCTCCATCCACTGTGTGTCTCTCCATCTCCATTCTCTTCCTCCACGCTTAGTATTTCAGTGGGCGGCTTATCCTAAAGTTCATCATATCTCCTAAATTTCCTCTTCATTTCCAATCACTTCTTGTATGGAATGGCTCAGTCCGAAACTAGTGCTTGTTCCCAGTTCCCAGCTGTGAAAGTGTGCCTTAAACACCCCCGTGATAATCAATAAATGGAACATGTTTATAAATACCATAATCTGGTCCCCATGGAACTAGTCGTGGAGTCCTGTAGCTCAGTGGTTAGAGCACTCGCTTTGCAAGTGAGAGACCTGAGTTCAATTCCAGGCAGAGGGCGAAACCTTGGGCAAGTTTCCTTACTCCACACAGAGCCTAATAATAATCCCTCCAAAACCAAAAACAATAATAAATTGGTCATTTTCAATCTACGACTGTTTGTGGGACATTGCTGTGCGCAATTGGCTGCCGCGTTCGCCCACAAATATACAGTCAATTCACTTTACAGTGTGTCCTGTGAAGCGCTTTGGGACGTCCTCCCGACGTGAAAAGCGCTATATCAAATGCAAGGATTATTATTATTATTATTATTATAGTCAAGACTTTTCAATTCGTAAAGTCTCCCGACACTCAAAAACGCTCGAGAAACACTATATAATATAATAATAATCCTTGCATTTGATATAACGCCTCATCTCGTCATTGATCTGCCTCAAAGTGCTTCACAGAATATACTGTGAAGTGGATTGACTGCGTATTTCGTGGGCGAAACGTAGCAGCCAATTGTGCATAGCAGCGTCCCACAAACAGTCGTGGATTTAGTTACCAATTGTTTTAAGGTGGGAGGGGGGAGAAAGTAATCCACAAATCGACTAACAACCTACTTACTGCTAGGGAAGCAAACAACCTACTTACTGGTAGAGGCGTGTGGAGGAAGGAAACTTGCCTCGCACGGGAATCGAACCCGGGTCCTTCCACTTGCGAGGCACTAAGGGAAACAATAGAAACAACTACAAATAATGTTCTAACTTACCCGGATGACAATGACGGGAGAGAGTACACTTACAAGAAAAATTCCTCCCTCCTACCTCACCGGCCCCCTGCTCACCCCTCACCTTCCCTTCACCCCCCCACCCCCACCCTCCCCTCTCACCCCTTCACCCCCCACCCCTCCCCTCTCACCCCTTCACCCCACCACCCCTCCCCTCTCACCCCTTCACCCCCACCTCCCCCCTCCCACCCACCATAACTTTAACCCAGGAGTCCCAATACTACATACCATCTTTTCAACATCACGAGCAAGATCTTTGAATTCATTGGATTGCTTGTCTTCCAATTCAATCTGATACGTTGCTCCTTGGGTTATCTTAAAGTTGCCTCCAGTCGAGTGTGAAGAGGTCTGGTTATCTGTTGATAAAGCAACGGCCCCAGACAATGACAACTTTCATTGTTACACTTTATATTGAAGGGAACGTCCCTTCGGGGACGGGAGCGAGCACTAAACGTTCCAATTCAGACAGAGGGAAATTCCTGAGTGTAGGTGGCACGCGTGTGTGGAACTCAGTACTGGGCGAGGTGCTCAAGCATGGGTTTCTTGCTTGGGTCAGGCTCCCCCGACTGACTTAAAACTCAACCCCTTGGTTTGTCGTGAATTTAACAGCCAGATGGTGGCAGTGTTTGTGTGGCTGTGGATATAGGTACAAATGTGTGCCCGGGTCTGAGTGTTTACGTGTTTCTGTATGTGTGTGCGTTCTGTGTGCGGGTATATGCATGACTATGTGTGCGCGTGTGTGTACTTGAATGTGTATACGTGGGCATATTGGCACTTGTACAGTTCAAGATTCACCTTCGTTCATCTTCGAGGCCCTCCATGGTCTTGCTCCTCCCTACCTCTGGGACCTCCTGAACCCCTACCATCCTGCTCGCTCCCTCCGATCAGCGGGCTCCGGCCTGCTTCACGTCCCCCGCCTTGCTCACCCCACTATTGGGGGTGGGCCTTCTGCCACTCTGCATCCACCCTCTGGAACTCCATCCCGCAGTTCCCCCCGACTCGCCCCCTTCCTTGCTCCTTCAAGACCCATCTCAAGACTCTCTTCTTCGACCGTGCTTCCGATCACCCTTCTTCCTCCCTTGCCCTCCACCCTCCCCGATCTCAACCCCCAGCTCGCGTACAAAACTCTGTCTGTCCAGCTCCTTGGGACGTCTTCCCGACATGAAAGACGCTAGACACATGTAATTTTGTTGTCATTGTATAGATATGTGATTGTTGTTCTTGCATATACAAGAAAAATAACAAAAGTATTTTTATAAAGCATCTTTCACGTAGGGAGGATGTCCCAAGTCGCTGGATAATCAGTGTTTCAGACCTGAGCTGGGGTTCATGATTGGGGAGGGTGGGGGGCAGAGGGGGAAGGAGCGACCGAAGGCATGGTTGAAGAGAAGGGTCTTGAGATGGGTCTTGAAGGAGGCGTGGAAGGGGTGAGCTGGAGGGACTATGGGATGGAGTTCCAGAGGGTGGGGTCAGAGTGGTTGAAGGCCCACCCGCCAATGGGCAGGCGAGAAGGAGGATGCTGAAGCCCGCTGAGCGGAGGGAGTGGGTAGGTTGGTAGAGGGTTTAGTGGTCGCAGAGGTAGGTGGGAGCACGGAGGGGTTTGAAGGTGAGGATCAGGATCTTGAACTGTATCCTCTGTGTGATGGGAAGCCAGTGGAGTAGGGTGAGGATGGGGGTGTGATAGGGTCACGGAGCCTGGTGCAGGAGAAGACACGGGCTGCAGAGTTCTGGATGATCTGCTGCCTATGGAGGGAGGAGTTGGGGATGCCGACAAGCAGAGAGTTTGTATAGTCAAGCCTCGATATTATGAATACATGTCTGAGGGTCTCGATTGCCTGCAGTGTGAGACAGAGAGTGAGCCGGGCGATGTTGTCGAAGTGGAAAAAAGCGGAGAGGGTCACGGCAAGGATGTGTGGTATGAAGGACAGTTGAGGGTCGAACAGGACACCGAGGTTCCTTATTGGCTCCATGAGATGTAGAGTGCGTCCATGGAGGGAGATGCTGTCACCCCCGAAGATATGGAGGCGCTGATAGGAGCCAAGTAGGAGAGCCTTGGTCTTGTTGATATTCAACTGCATGAAGTTAGCTCTCACCCAGGATTTGATGTCCGATAAAATAATAATAAATTGATATAATGGTAATAATAATCATTGCATTATATATAGCAACTTATCATGTCTTCGAGACATCTCAAAGCGCTTCACAAACTATACAGTGTAAAAGGCAAGGAGGTGGAAGGATTCCTGAAATGTGTGCAGGATAACTTTCTGGATCAATATGTTTCTAGCTCAACAAGGAAGGAAGCAGTGCTGGATCTAGTTCTGGGAAATGAAGTGGGGCAAATGGAATAGGTTTCAGTGGGAGAGCATCTGGACAACAGTGATCATAACATCATTAGGTTTGGAGTACTTATGGAAAAGGACAAGGAACAATCAAAGGTGAAGATACTCAACCGGAAGAGGCCTAATTTCAGTTAGTTATAAAGAGACCTAGCCAAGGTGGAAAGGAACGACTTGTATGTAACACAGCTAACCAGCAATGGGAAGCCTTCAAGGAGGAGATAGTTCGGGAACAAATGCATTCCTACAAAGGGGAAAGGCATCCAAACCTCCCTGGATGAATAAGGAAATTGGGATTAAAATAAAACAGAAACAGGAGGCTTATGATAAATGTCAGGTCCAAAATACAGAAGATAATCAAATAGAATATAAAAAGTACAGAGGAGAACTGAAAAAGGAAATAAGAGGGGCAAAGAGATTGAATGAGAAAAGATTGGCGGGTAATATAAAGAATAACAGGTTAGTCAAAGGTTGGGTGGGGCCAATTAGGCACCAAAGAGGAAATCTTGTGGAGGCAGAGGGCACGGCTGATGTACTGAATGAGTACTTTGCATCTGTCTTCACAAAAGAAGAGAATGCAGCCAATGCCACAGTATCAGAGGAGAGGGTAGAGAAATTGGATAAGAGTAAACTGAGAAGAGGTACTAAAAAGGTTGACGGTGCTCAAGGTAGATAAGTCACCCGGTCCAGGCGGGAAGCTTCCTAGGTTACTGAGGGAAGTAAGGCTGGAAATAATGGAGGCTCTGGCCACAATCTTTCAATCCTCCTTGGACACCAGGGTGGTGCCAGAGGACTGGAGGGTTGCAAATATCACTCCCTTTTACAAAAAGGAACAGAAAGATAAATTTGACTGCAGGCCAGTCAGCCTAACGTCAGTGGTGGGGAAACGTCTGGAGGCTATAATCCGGGACAAAATAAATTTTCACTGAGCAAAATATGGGTTAATAAAAGACAGCCAACACAGATTTGTTAAAGGCAAATCATGCCTCACCAGCCTGATAGGGTTTTTTGATGAAGTAACGGAGAGGGTGGATTAAGGTAGTGCAGTAGATGCAGTTTATATGGATTTTCAAAAGGCATTTGATAAACTGCTGCAGAAAAGACTTGTAAGCAAAATAGAAGCCCACGGGATGAAAGGGGCATTGGCAGCATGGATACAGAACTGGCTGGGAGAGAGAAATCAGACAGTAGTGGCGGACAGTTGTTTTTCTGACTGGAGGGAAGTGTGCAGTGGTGTCCCTCAGGGGTCGGTATTGGGACCACTGCTGTTTTTGATGTATGCAATTGACCTGGACTTGTGTTTAGGGAGTACAATTTCTAAGTTTGCAGATGATACAAAGCCAGGAAAAGCCAGTGAGGAGGATAGCAGCAGACTGCAAGAGGACATAGACCTGGTAAAATGGGCAGACACGTGGCAGATGGAATTTAATGTGGAGAAATGCGAAGTGATATATTTTGGGAGGAAGAATGAGGAGAGGCAATATAAGCTGATGGTACAATCTTAAAGGGGGTGAAGGGACAGAGAGACCTGGGGGTCATATCAGTAAATCTTTGAAGGTGGTAGGATAGGTAGATAAAGCTGTCAAAAATGCATACGGGATATTAGGCTTTATAAATAGGGGCATAGAATACAAAAGTCAGGAAGTTATGATGAACTTTATAAAACACTGGTTAGATCTCTTCTGGAGACTGTGTTCAGTTCCGGGCACCACTCCTTAGGAAAGCATTGGAGAGGGTGCGAAGGAGATTGACTAGGATGGTACCAGGAATGAGGGACTTCAGTTATCAGGAGAGGCGAGAGACGCTAGGATTATTCTGCTTGGAGCAGAGAAGGTTAAGAGGAGACTTAATAGAAGTTTTCAAAATTATGAGGGGATTCGATAGGGTGAACAAGGAGAAACTATTCCCACTGGCGGATAGGTTGGTAACCCAAGGACACCGATTTAAATTAGTTGTTAAAAGAAACAGAGGGGAGGTAGGGAGAAATTTTTTCACACAGCGAGTTGTTCGGATCTGGAATGCATTGCCTGAAAGGATGGTGGAAGCCGATGCGATAACAACTTTTAAGAGTGAAGTAAATAATTATTTGGGGAGGACAAGTTTGCAGGGCTATGGGGAGAGTGCGGGGGAGTGGGATTGATTTGTCCAGCTGTTTTAAGAGAGCCGGCATGGACATTATGTGCCTCCTTCTGTGCTGTATAATTCTATGATTCTATGGTTGAATATATACTTTATGTGTGTGTGTTTACATGGGTGTATCTGTGTAGGTAAAATTCCTCCCATTATTTCCACACTTTCACCCCATTAAGATACCTGCTATCTTCACTACCTGTGACAAACAGTAAGAAATGACTTTCCATTTAAAATATTAATTGTCCCTAATCTACATCATCACAATTCCACCCATCCCAATCCTGTGACATTTTTGGGTCAGCCATTTTTGGTAACACATGTGGAAACCCATTGCCATGTTTAACAGCATCCAGACCAGACTGAGAGTTCTGCCTGCAACAACAACAACAAAATGACATTTATAGAGCGCCTTTCACGTCGGGAGGACGTCCCAAAGCGCTGAACAGTCAGCTGTCGGGGCCTGAGCATGGGGGAGGGGTGGTGTAGGAGTGAGGGAAGGCAGAGAGGTGGGAGGAAGACCAAAGGCACGGTCGAAGAGAAGGGTCTTGAGACCGGCCTTGAAGGATGCGAGGGAGGAAGCGAGGGGAAGGGACCGTGGGATGGAGTTCCAGAGTGTGGGGGCAGAGAGGCTGAAAGCCCGACCACCGATGGTAGGGCGGGTCGGGCGGGATACATGGAGCAGCCCGGAGCCCCGATGAACGGAGGGAGTGGGCAGGTTGGTAGGGAGTCAGCAGGTCAGAGAGGTAGGAGGAGGCAAGGCCATGGGATGGCCTTAAAGGTGAGGACGAGGATCTTGAACTCGATCCTCTGGGGGATAAAGCGTCTTAGAGACGTCACAAAGCGCTTCACAGAATATACTGTAAAGTGTAGTGACTGTATATTTTGTGGGCAAAACGCCAGCTGCCAATTGCGCACAGCAGTGTTCCACTAACAGTCGCGAATTGAAGTGACCAAATTATTATTATTATTATTTTTGTTGGGAGGAATTATTACTAGTTAAAGAGAGGCGTGTGTGTGGAGTAAGGACACATACCCTGCCGCTAGCTCAAAGTCCCAATAGGGTGTTTGAACTCACAAACTTCTGACTCAGAGGCGAGAGCACTATCAACTGTGACAGGTTGTGGAATTAAGCCCCTCAGTGGGACTTTGAGCCCACAATGTTAGTCTGACACCAGTATTCTGGGGAGAAGTTGCTGTGTTATCAGACATGCGTCCTTGGGATGACGTGTTAAACCGAAATCCCAGCTTTCTGCTTAAGTTGAATTTACGGTTGGCTTTTCCAGAGGTAACAACCCTTCAAAAAAAAATAATAATCATTGGGTCACTCAATCCACCACTGTTTGTGGGACACTGTGCCACAGAGTTCCACAGTTCTCTGTTATCAGCCTCTGATTGAGGCAATCTCCCCAGCGCTACTGGTTCTAGTTTATTGCTGTGATTTTTGAAGCTTATGACCCCTTCGTTCTGAGCTCGAACACTCCGCACAAGGGAAGGGGTAACACGGAGTCGTGTGGCGTATTGGTAAGAGCACTTGCCTTGCAAGCGAGAGGACCTGCGTTCGATTCCCGAGCGGATCGAATCATTAGGCAAGTTTCCTTACACCACACGCCTCTGTTCCTACCAATAAATAGGAACCTGGTTGTTAGTCGATTGATGGATCGCTTTTTGGGGGTTAGTAATCCCACCAAAAAAAATAATAATAATAATTTGATCACTCAATCCACGACTGTTTGTGGCTCACTGCTGTTTGCTAAGTGAGTCCAGTCTAGACTATCTTGAACACAGAATCATAGAATATTACAGCACAGAAGGAGGCCATTCGGCCCATCGTGCCTTTGCCGGCTCTTTGGAAGAGAATCAGTTCCACTCCCCCACGCTCTTTCCCCATATCCTTGACATTTTTTTCCTTTTCGAGTCCCTATCCAATTCCTTTTTGAAAGTTATTGAATTTGTTTCCACCATCCTTTCAGGCAGTGTGTTTCCGACTGTAACAACCCTCCGTGTAAAAAAAAATGTCTACTCATCTCACGTCCCCTCTGGTTCTATTTGCAAATTATCTTAAATCTATGTCCATTTGGCGCCCATCCAAACCACCCATAGATCTCCTTTCAATTAATTCATGTCCCCACACAAACCCCTCCGCCCCCAACCCCCCCGCGCCCCCGAACTCTCTCCTCAAATCCCTCAACCTCTCCCTTTCCTGTCCCCTTTGCTCTCAAATCTCGCCTGAACACCTATCTCCTTGATGACCCTCTCCCCTCCTCCTCAGCTCAAGTTCCCGCTCGTTTGTAAAGTGCTTTGAAACGTTCTCTCAAGGCAGAAGGTGCTGCATAAAATGTATACTGTTGGTGTTATAGTAACAGTTTCAGTCAGGTGTACAATCATCACTACCAACAGCAACTTGCATTTATATAGTGCCCTTCACGCGGTGCAGCGACTGCGACTGTGACCATTAGTCCATTGACTATCCATCTTGGCCAGTCACTGGAGGTAGGGAGTCATCCCACTCAGCTCCTGTTAACCCTGCAAGCCAAAGCCCTAACAGCTAGAGTGTGGTCGTAGCTGGATGAGTAACGAGAAAGCTTGCCCGACAGCGATATCAATGGGAGGCTAGCCGGATAGATTCCAGCAGTTACCCCCAACGCACACTCTGGGCTCCCCCCAAGCCTTGGCTCTTGCCAACCTGCGCCTAACACAATCCGGAATGAGGTAAGCAGGACGCGTCGCTCCAGGGAGAGAGTGAGACTGAGAGAGAGAGAGAGAGAGAGAGTGCATTCCATTCCAACAACCTATCTCTGGGATTTCCATGTGTGGGTGGGAGCCGTGGAATTCTCAGGTTGGTTTGGAGACTCTTAAGCAACGGCGATGGGTTCCCGCGTGTGTCAGACACGTGGGTGTAACGCCCCTCTCTCCCATCCCCCCACCCGCAAAAAATTGCAACTTCTCAAAAGGTTCCTTCCACCGAGCTATCTCCCTATCAAATACACAACTGTCTCTCCCACACAATATACAGTTAATTCACTTGACGGTGTATCCTGCGAAGCATCTGAGACACCTCGAAGACCATAAGGCGTTGGCAGGAGCAAACGCAAGGATTATTATTGATAATACAATAAACTCACCGACTGACTGGGATTCGTGGATGGCGAGCCAGCTGACCGCGATCAAACCTGCGCAGACCACCAACAGGATGGCAAAGAGGCTGATGAGCATCAGCTCCAAGGAACTGAAGGCAGGTCTCCCCATCCTCCTGCCTTTACACATCCTGCCAACGTTCACCTCGGTACCTCCGCCTAAATCAAGCCCAGCTCAGCGGCCGCTGGTCGCTGTGGCATACTGTTGGTTTTATATAACCGCGGCTCAGGGAAATGAGTAACTTATACAGATTGACGTCCCCGTATTGCCACCAATCATGTCACGCCTGTGATTTATGGTGCTTCAGGAGGATTGAACTGCGGTTGATGGGAATGCGATCGTAAACGGGTTTGCTTACAAACATTCCGGCCGCTCCCCTTCGTGGTAATTTCCTTGTGAAGCGCTTTGAGACATTTGTGCCCTATAATAATAATAATAGTAATCCTTGGATTTGATATAGCCCTTTTCATTTCTTCGAGACGTCTCAAAGTGCTTCACAGAATATACTGTAAAGTGAATTGATTATATGTTTCTGGGAGAAAATTGGCAGCCAATTGCGCACAGCAGCGTCCCAAAAAACAGTCGTGGATTGAAGTGACCAATTTATTATTGTTTGTTTTTTTCTTGAGGGATTATTATCAGGTGTGTGTGTGGAGTAAGGAAACTTGCCCAAGGCTTCGCCCTCCCTGGAATCGAACCCAGGTCCTCTCGCTTGCGAGGCGAGCGCTCTAACCACCGAGTTACAGGACTCAACAAAGTCCTATAGTAGTTGAGGATAATCCTTGCATTTGGCACGGCGCCTTTCATGTCAGGAGGACGTCTCAAAGCGCTTTACGGGATTAGTGTGATGTGTAGTGACTGTGTATTTGTAGGCGAATGGTACAGACCAGCCCCATTGAGAGAAAATCCATTCTCCGTCTATCTCCAGGTCAACGACAACTGCCCTGTGTTCTGAATGAGGGTTTAAAGCCTTAGAGCACTCTTCCCTTCCCTGGGTTAGAGCAACAACAACTTACACTTGTATCACACCTCTCCCCTCACCTCCTTCAAACTCCATCTCAAGTCACGGACCTCTCGTCTCGCGAAGGAGAGGACCCGGGTTTGATTCCCGGTCGGGTCAGGGCAAAACCTTAGGCAAGTTTCCTTACTCCACACGCTTCTCTTTATCAAACAGTAAGTAGGAACACGGTAGTTAATTGATTAGCGGATCGCTCTCTGAGGATAATAATCGCTCTCAAAGAAATAATTCAGTCACTCAATCCACAACTGTTTGGGGGACTGCCGCGCTTCGCCCACAAAATACACAGTCAATTCACTTGACAGTATATTCTGTGAAGCGCTTTGAGACGTCTCGAAGACGTGATAGGGCGCTGTATCAAATGCAAGGATTATTGTTATCGATACTAATTTTTTAAAAATAACAGGTGAAATGGGGCTTTCTCATCCACTTTCATTGGGAATTCAAAACATTTTGTTTTACAATATCACTGTTTTTTTGTGCAATTAACGTGTGGGTTGAAACATACCTGGCACAAAGCAATTTAGCACTGGAAGCTAAATCTGGAAGCAGATAAACGGGCAAGCAATCAAATCATTAAAAGGAATTACAGAAAGACGGTATAGACAGAAAGGTTGAGAGGTTTTTTCTTATAAGAAAAGATTGGAAAAGCTGGGACTGTAACTTCTGGAACAGAGAAGGACGAGGTAAGACTTGATATGAGTTTTGGAGGAAGTAAACAGGGAGAAATTATTTCCGCTGGTCTATGAGTCACTTGCTTGAGGGCACAGATTTAAGGACATTACCAAAGGAGCAAAGCTGGAGGAAAAGGAGAATTGGTTTGTATTACAAGGAGGGTTGGTTGACTGGACGTGCGATGTGGTTGAGGCAGAATTTGTATTAGCTTTCGAAAGGGAATTGGATAAATACATCAAAACATAATTTACTTAAGATGTGGTTGTATTTTTTCCTAAATAGCCAATGCAGCCTCAACCGCGAGTTCAGCCTGTTAGAATCATAGAATTATACAGCACAAAAGGAGGCCATTCGGCCCACTGTGTCTGTGCCGGCTCTTTGAAAGAGCTGTCCAAATTAATCCCAATCCCCCGCTCTCCTGCAAATTTGTCCTCCTCAAATATCTACCTACTCCTCTACGGAAAGTTATTATTGAATCGGCTTCCCCCCAGTTTCAGGCAGTGCGTTCCAGATACGAACAACTCGCTGCGTGAAAACATTTCTCCTTCCCTCCCCTCTGGTGCTGTTTGCAACTATTTTAAATGAGTTCTATGAGGAACTGTTCGAGTTGTTATCAGCAGAGACATATGTTACAGGCTGTGCAGTGTAATGAACAGCTCTCACAAACATGAGCCAACAATTGCAACACAGATGGGGAGTTGGGCTAATGGGAAACAAACATGAAACAGCGACTGAGATAATAACAACAATAATAATCCTTGCCTTTGATGCAGCGCCTTATCACGTCTTCGAGACGTCTCAAAGCGCTTCACGGAATGCACCGTAAAGTGAATTGACTGTATATTTCGTGGGCGAAAGGCGGCAGCCAATTGCGCACATCAGCGTCCCAACAAGCAGTCGTGGATTGAGTGTCCAATTTATTATTATTTATTTTGAAGGAGTTATTACCCTTGGAAAAGAGATTCCTCCAATCGACTAACAACCGGGTTCCTAGTTACTGCTAAATAAACAGAGGCCTGTGTGGAGTAAGGAAACTTGCCAGGTCTCTCGCTTGCGAGGAACATGCTCTAACCACTGAGCTGCAGGACTCCACAAATGAGATGGCAGATGGAGGGTTCGGGGGGTGGGGGGGTGGTGGTGGTGGTTAGCTAATGACGGGGAAGGCAAGAAAGCAGGACACAGATGCCAGGACACAGATGGCGTCTTCTCTCGCCTCTGAGTCAGAAGTGTGGGGGCTTTCTCGCCCCATCTCGGGATGTGGAATCACACGGTCTAACCTGATGCTCCAACGCAGACCTGGGGGGCGGGGGGGGGGGTGGGTGTTGCATTGTCTGAGGTGTCGTCCTTCGGTTCAGACATTAAACCGAGGTCCCGTCTGTCTGTTTGGGTGGACGTTAAAGATCCCGTGACTCTATTCGAAAAAAGAGATGGGAGTTTCTTTCTCCCGGTATTCTGGCCAAGAATAAGAAGAAGAACAACAACTTGCATTTATATAGCGCCCTTCATGGGAGAATAGCGTCTTGGAGCGCTTGACAGTGGCGGAGACTGACGCTCAGCCAGGTGGGAGAGGGGGGGAGGTGAGGCAGGTGACCGTAAACACGATCAAAAAGGAAACAACCCCCTCCCCGCACACCCCACCCCCACCCCCGTATAAAATTGGTCACTCAATCCACGGCTGTTTGTGAGACAATACTGTGCGCATTTGGCTGCTGCGTTTCTTCCACAAAAAAAAATACACCGTCACTCCACTTTACAGTATATTATGTTAAACGTTTTGAGACGTCTCAAAGACGTGAAAGGCACGACATCAAATGCAAGGATTACTATTATTATTATTATTGATAATAAAATGCTGGGATTTTTAACAACACCTAAACAAGGAAAACACTACTCAGTTTAATGATTCATCAGTGGAATGGCGCCTCCGAAAATACAGAACTCCCTCCCTCCAACACCCACCGGAGAGACAGACGAGAATGTACGCTCAAAGTCATGAGGTGGGACTTGAACCCGCAGGTAAAATGTGACCGGCGAGGTCAAGCGGCCATCTAATTGCTCACAAGTAGGATACTGATGCAATGTGTAGGACATGGTGGTTCCCTGATACAGCCTCTCAGACTCTTTTCGCCCAAGAGACTACTACTTGTGGAGTCCTGCAGCTCAGTGGTCAGAGCACTCGTCTCGCAAGCCAGAGGACCTGGGTTCGATTCCCGGGCAGGGCGAAACGTTGGGCAAGTTTCCTTACTCCCCACACATGCTTTTGCTTACCCAGCAGTAAGTACCCGATTGTGAGTCGATTGGCGGATCGCTTTTCCGGGGATAATAATCCCTTCAAAACAAACACATACATAAATGAATACTAATTTGGTCATTCAATCCATGACTGTTTGTGGGACGCTGCTGGGCCTAATTGGCTGCCGCGTTTCGCCCCCGAAACATACAGTCAATTCACTTTACGCTATATTCTGTGATAGAAAATAATATCTGAGGATCCAATATATAGCTTGGGACACGACATGTCAAGCGACTGCCAGGGTAGTGGTATTCGAACTAGATCGACCTTGGTCTTCTTTCGCCCAGCAAATTCTTATGTTCTTAGAGATGTCTCAAAGATGTCATAAGACGCCATATCAAATGTGAGGTTTGTTATTACATCCGACGATAAAAGTATAATCTGCCTCATATGTCATGGCGATGTAGATACAGACAGGTTGCAGTGATCAAACATTGACCTGGTGACTCATGCGAGATTATCCGCAACCAGTTTCGAAGAGCATCTTATCAGACTGTGAACGTGACTGGTCTAACAATCAGAGTGTTTGGTTCTCAATCGCGGTTCGACATTTCACATTTCCCCACCACCGCCGCCTCAGTTTCCAAACGAAATCGGAGACAGGTGTACAAGTTGTGTAAATAATCACTGGGCCTTATCGCGTTCATCTAATCAAAACCGTACCTTGCACGTAGCAGACACGATGACTTCCCTCAGCGCCGAATTATTTCACGGGCTCAGAAAAAAAAACACCCCCCGATCTGGGAATGTTTGAATGTTGGGCACTCCTAATCAGATAGTTAATCTTAGTTCAAAGTTCACTCTCTCCCACCCCTCCCTCCCTCCTCTTCCACAAAAGATGTGTCAAAGGTGATCATGTCGTATAGATAGATTGCGCGGTTTAGTTAGGACGCACTTTCAGGATAAGGGTCAGGTTTGATTATTTTTTCAAACATCCTGGTAGCTAACCATCAGAGGGGGAACCTTGACAAATGTCGTAATAATTCAAGTGGAATCTTCACCACTGATACAACCCCTTTCATGGCAGGAGGATGTCCCAAAGTGCTTCACAGGATTTACTGTAAAGTGCAGTGACTGTGGTGTTTTTGTAATGATAATAAATAATAATGATAATAATCCTTGCATTTCTTACAGCACCTTATCGTGTCTTCATGACCATATCGTGTCTGTGACCAATTGTATTTGGGGGATGCGTTGGCCAGGACACCAGGAGAAAGAGAGAA